ATTACGTACTGAGATAAATGTCACCTTCCGTATCTCGTGATTAGTCATTACCTACTGAGGTAACAGTCACATTCCGTATCACGTGTTCTGTCATTACGTACTGAGATAACATTCACCTTCCGTATCACGTGGTCCGTCATTACTTACTGAAATAACAGTCCCATTCCGTATCACGTTGTCCGTCATTACGTACTGAAATAACAATCCCATTCCGTATCACGTGTTCAGTCATTACGTACCGAAATAACAGCCCCATTCCGTATCACGTGTTCTGTCATTACGTACTGAAATAACAGTCACATTCCGTATCACGTTGTCCGTCATTACCTACTGAAATAACAGTCCTATTCCGTGTCACGTGTTCCGTCATTACAAACTGAGATAACAGTCACATTCCGTATCACGTGTTCCGTCATTACCTACTGAAATAACAGTCACATTCCGTATCACATGTTCCGTCATTACGAACTGATGTAACAGTCACATTCCGTATCTAGCCTTTTAAACACTTTAAAGTAATGCAATTAAGCGGACTGAGAAAATTTCTTTAACAAAAATCACATAGCTTCACCTCTTTATTTACTACTCATATTGTAATATGAAAGAATATTGTAGATTATATTTCATATTAATAAGCTGAAGGGAAGCATAGATGCATTCCTCGAAAAAAAATAACGAAAAGTAGTTCCCGTCTATTAAATTCACGAATTAATTCAGAAAGTTCAAAATCTTAAAACACGGACAGCCAAGCCCAAAAAAGAGGCCGAAAGGGCTAAGGGGATCATGTCGTCACCCTGACAAACGTTACTCCTAAATCGTTTACGGATGTCATCCACGCTTGCTAAATCGCACGTTTTTAATTAGCTGGATACTTGATAGTTCTAGCCCCATGACCGGACAATGACCTAACAAGGTTGATGGATGGTATCAGTGCAGTACACAAATATCGTATTCCTTCTCTTCTTTGTTCAATCACCTGGTCGTTATTCAGGAAAATCAAGCAGAAAATAATAAGGGTGGTCAGTATCGCTATATAATACCAAGTTCAAAATACCCCGATTGTAGTTTATAAACAATGTTATCAGTGCACTTTCTTGTTGACCTAGTTTCTTCAATAAATATACAACATATGTTTTTTTTTACTTTTTTGACGATGTTTTTTATGCTAGAGTTACAAGAAATGACCGTGAGTTTGTTTTTAACATTTTTCATGTAAGGTAAAAACAACTAAACGCGTCAACGAGGCTTTTTTTTTTTTCGTGAGTGTCAGATTACGATCCGACTCCTTATAGACATGGTGTTAGCTGGATGTCAGTTAAAACAGGCAACACACTCAAAAGTCTTGCGTCACTGCGCTATAGCAAAGTAGTTTCAACATAAATACAACACGGCTATTAACTTACTAAGCATTGAATCAAGGTTATTTCAGTATCGTTTTCTTAAACTCTGTGGTTTAGTTTTCTTGGAGTGATTTTTTGTTTTTAACAATGTAACAAAGGTATATTGTACATCAAAACAGTATAATTTACAAAGTTGATATATTCATACGCGGTATAGCCAGATAAATTGGGACCCAGGAGGACAGTAGCGTTATGGAGGTCGCGTACTGACTTGCTCTGTAGGAAATGTCGTACAGCCGTGGCAGGCCACATTAATATCCATCGGTGCCTTTGAGAAATGGATGATATTTAATGGCTTAACGTTGATATCGATATTTTTCATGAGCGCTGAGCATGAGAAAAGATTTCGGTATATTCTGCCATGGGAGTGAAATTTATTTGGTATTAAAGGGGAAAATAATAATATTTTTTATTTAAAACATTTTAAAACTACCGACAACGGGAGAAATACCACTGCATCTTAACAGTTGAGGATATGAAATCGAAATCTTTTTGTGTAATATTCTAATGACGTCAGGCTTGGTATAAAGTCTAAGGCTGTCCGCCAGTTTCAATATGATACTCAACAGACTTCTACTGAAATGGAATAAATTATGTAGGTTAACAAATACTGTAGTGAACGTGGCAAAAATGTGCAAAATCAGCCTTTTATTCTACCATCGCTTCATCTCACGACTTTGAATGAGGTGAATAGAAGCTGACGTTCTGTTTGGTCCATGTCTAAGGTAACACGCTCACACTGTAAAAGCATCAATTATATTAATTTCATCAAATTGATGGCCTTCGATATCTCACTGGCAAAAATCGACTAGGAAATAATGTTACAGCTTCATTATCACAGTTTGTTTCTGGACAGAACATGAATGCTAACATTGACCCTTGCGTTGCTTTGATTATCTACGCTGCCAATTTGTTGTCAGCTTGTTTGGTTTCATTTTTCATAAGGTCAAAAACAAGACGCATGGGGGTAGGTTTAGATTAGAAAACGTACGACAGCTAGACTTGTGTTGCAATTTGTAGCTCTCTGGCTTCAACAGGATGCGGGTGTATTCGAGTAGTGTAATGTTGTCCAAATGAGATCATATAACATTATAAAGAAAACGTGCTCACTTGAACAATCGATATTTCTAGAGAAGGAAAATGACATAATAATTTTGTCATTAAATGAGAAATTATTGAAGAATGTGGTACCGACTCGATTATTTTAGCGTAACCGGATTTCCTAATGAGTGACGTCACCACACGCTTAATATCAAAACGCCTCGTGTTATGGGCATTTCTGGTAAAACAAAAATAACTTCAATTGTTCGGGAAAAGGTTTTAACGATAGCGGAATTCGTCTGCGCCCTAAACATATCAAAGTATATGATATTTTTGCCGTAGTGAGATTTCCTTTCTACTGTAGTATCAGCTATCCAAAAATAACTCGGGAAGGTGTGTTTATATTTAGGATATGCCGTGACAGTATTCATCAATAATTGTATTTTTTAAATTCATTGCATTTGAAAACTACAGTCAAACTCGTTTTAACAGACTACCCTTTGGAAGTCCCCAAAATGGTCTCCAAATACAAGTGGTCTCTTTCTTGTTCAGGTTAACCCATTCACCCCTAAAGTCACATTTGAACCTTACCGAATCAAAGCCTTGGCAAGTTCATTTTAAAAATGTAGGGGTGAATGAGTTAAGTTTACAATGATATTATTAGAATGGTAAATATGTATTAAGTAGTCTCTTAATACAAGTGGTCTCTTATACCGGTTAATCCATTCACCCCTTAAGTCACCTTTGAACCTTACGAAATCAAAGGCTTGGCAAGTCCGTTTTAAAAATGTAGGGGTGAATCAGTTAAGTTTACAATGATATCCCTCCAACGTTTAAATGGACTTCTTGACAGAGGTCATCCCCGTAGGTGGGGAATCGGGAAAAGACTGTATCGTAGGAGGCGACTAATGAGGGAACCCCCTGCAGAATTAGGCATTTGCTTTGGTGTCCTTTATTTGGGGACACAAAAGCAACCAAAATAAATCTGCTGCACCCATTGCAATATTTGGGATCTTTATCTTTCTTTATACTTCTAACTATCTTTTATTTCCTAGCGCCTTGCTTGGCAACACCTCACTTTTGGCCTTAATTTTGGGCTTTCGCCCAGGTGAGGAAGGCAATGGGTTCTGTCCCCAGGCCGGGACATACCAAAGTTCTTAAAAAGGGTAGTTGTTATCCCTGCTAAACGTTCAGCATTTATGGGAATTGCAACAACTGGTTCACCCGTTGTCAGTATAATGTGACCGGGCGGACTGCTGTGCTGGATGCCTTCAGCATGTCATTTCAGTGAGATAGCACTATAAAGTCGGCATCATATCCGCGCTATCACAAGGAGTCAAGCACACCAACATACACTGTCCCTTGCATACACACACGCAAGGACGCAAACACTACACACATGGAGGCACGTCCTTAAATGACCCTAGCTTTTAAAAGGACGTTAAACAAAATTAAACCAAACTAAACCAATCATGACAGAGGTCGTATCCCTATTTACTCTGTTTGAGTACCAAATTAACGTTACCGTGTTGAATAAATTCTTCGTGACATTAAACAACAATTGATCCATATGGTCGTATGAGGTGATTGACTCATTAAACTGGAATTTTTCAGACTATGATTTGGTAAGATTCAAATGTGACTTTAGAGATAAGTGGGTAACGTGGGTCCCCTGTGAAAAAGTACCAGAAAGGGGATTGCAATTTTCTCATCATTCCAATACTATGTTGAAAACGGCAGTTTCAGCATTTGATATCTGTTTCTATCCTGATTTGTTTATTACCTCTTCCATCGAGAGCTCACTGTGACGTCAGAGTATTGTTTCATATTACGTCATATCTGTCATACCCTAGAGGGAACACTGCGACTTTGACCTCTGGTTGGCCGAGACATTTGCAAGTTGACGATGAGTATGTTATGTACAACATCATCGGAAACTCTACTGTGACTTTTATTACCTTGTTTTACAAGATGGACGCCGTATTCTGATTTCACGCGAGAAAAAAAACACTGTTACTGCGATGATCTCGAAATTTCCATCTACACGAAAATTTCGATTTTTGCAGTACAAATAGGGTTTGGCTTGTGATTTCCCACGTCTTGTTAATACTATCGTGTAGTCATTATAAGTATATAGACATAGATCCCACGCCTTTAGGAAGTGTTGGAGTCGGTGTTTACTCGATATGATTCAGCACTTATTATATTTTTTTCACCTGACAGGTAAACCGCTGATAACTACACACACACTAGTTCAAATATAACGCCCTCGTTGTTAATGTTCAGATACTATAACGTGAAAGTAGACATGTATGACGCGATGTTGTTATTTGTAGCAAAAAAACAACAACTATAACCTCATTAATCTGACGTGGACGTTACGTAATCAATAAAAGTGATCAAATAGGGAGCATTGGAATGGATTTAAATGCCCCATCATATGATTTTAAAGGCATTGAAATAGCAAACACTTGTGGCTCACGGTATCGGTATTAGAATAAAGGCGTATTGGACGAATACAATTTTATTGGAAAAAATCTTTTTGCAAATGTTTACATTACATACATATACAAACTGCATTCAACATATAAAATAGTTATACTTTAAGACAAGACATATACAATTATACATTTTCATATCTAAAAATGAGAATAGAAACAAGAAAACAAAGATAAGCAACTCCTTATCGTACTCTCTACGTTCTAGGTCACACAGGGGATGTCTTTCAGGACACTGAATGGGATAAAAGTATTGGAATCACAGACCTCTTTGTATCAGCAAAAGGCTATGGACCCATTTGCTTCCGTCTCCATTATGCTATACATTACACAATCCGATAAAATCGACGACCTAATCTGTTCTATGTTAGCAATACATAAACGTAATTGAAAATAAACGAATTCCCAACAATTCGTCTGTAGTACTTTCATCTCTTTTTGAGTATTTTTTATATCTTTCAAAAGAGTTTTGTGACGTCATCATTTATGACGTCAGCAAATGGATTACTATAGCGAAGTCCGCGATACGTAACTGCCATAGCTATATCCAGAAATAGAAATTATACAGCGTTACAAGTACATGTACCATCAACTTATAACGAAGTATTACTGTAGTACTGTTATAAAATGGTAACTGTACACGTCCATCACGCGAAACAGAAGCAGATTTATCAACACGCATGCGTGATGAATTGACGGCAACTCAACCTTTTAAACAAATATTAAGAATATAATTATAAAACACGCGTCAAACTTTGTTTTCTTATTTACAATATGTCCTCTATAAATGACTTTAGTTTCATGAAGAGCAATTGCACTTATAGCTGCATTGAGTTTAATCTGTTATAAGCGTCCCTCCCGGCACGAACAAAAGTCTACAAACTATGGTTACTTGATATAAATCATCAAATTACTCCACTAAAAATATATATTGGAGCGTAGAATTTACTTAAGTGAGAAATAAGTCAAGTTAATTACGCAAATTATAAAAGAGATTTTATCTATAAAAAAATATAAAAATCTATAGCAGAACACAACAGCAAATGGACCTCTTACAGAGTATCATTGAATTTACTGCAGCAACAAACCATGAAAATGAGACCCTCGTGCAATATGAAAAATGTGTTACATATGTAACGATTAGCTAAAATATTCCCTCTGAAACATACGTGGTTGTGCTGCAATTACATCTAAAAAGGAAACGAAATAGATGACAAAAATACACATAAAACGAAACAGAAGACATTTCAATGGTTAAGTACGAAAATTGAGTTTGTGATATTACTGTAAAGCATTTTAATATTGCTTGAGCATTTTCTCACGAACTACGTCTGTTTAATTTATTCACGCATATTTAACATCGGAATCGAAAGGATTCTGTTTCAATATTGAAAGTAATCTAATAATGTAATAGCATGTACATTATCAAATTGACTATAAACAAATGTTCGCAGAATATTTCAATTCGGAACACAAGTTCTTACTTACGGGTTTACAGGAACATGACTAGTAGTTTATCGCGAAAATAATATGATTTTCAGTAAGTGATTTTGTATTAATAATCTACAGTGTATGAATTAAATACAAATGATTTTACAGGACTAGACAACCAACAATCAGAAAGCAATATACTATAATTAACTCTGTCTTGAAAAACATCAGTCTACGCAAAATTAACAGGAAAATTAGTATCTCTCCAACATGAAATAACTTCCAGTGAGTGATTTCAAAGGCAACCATCAATTAGAATGCAATGAACTATTATTCGCACTGTCTAGAGAAAAAAATCGGTCTACATGAAATTAACAGGAAAATTTGTCTCTCGCGAAAAGAAAATTATTTCCAGTAGGTATCATTCAAGTAATAGACTATGAAACATACAAATGATTTTGCAGGAATATACAATCAATGATCACAATGCAATATACTGTTTTTCGCACTGTCTCGATTAGTCTACACAGAATGGACAAGAAAATTAGTCTCTCGCGAAAATTATAATGATTTTCTGTAGGTGACTTTAAAGTAATACACTATTAAATATACATACAGGATCGTGCAGGAATAGACAATCAATAATCACAATGCAATACACAGTTATTCATACTATCCCGATACACATCAATCTACACAGCTGGAGTCGGCGGCACAGAAACCGGGAACGTTGGGGTCAAATGCTTCGCCAACCGGGCACTCCGCGTCAATAGCTGAGTCCAAGAAACATACGAAATATTTGCGGCAATGGTTTGGAACTGGAATAGACACCTCGCCAAACGACAGGACTCCTTCACATGGTGCTGCAATAAGTCAGAAAATATTCATTTAAACTAAAGAAATCAAATAGTGTTAATTAGCGCAATTATAGTTATATCATGTTGTCAGTCCATAACCACGACAGAATACCCAAGTGTAAATATAACGCAAATCGGACTCAATATCGACGAGACTACGCTAAACATGAACTTAAGCTGTATCTTGCAGGTGTTCAATCAAATAATCATGTCGGTTGAGACCATGAATAAGTTTTGTTTTGTTTTTTCAAACCCTCAAGTGGCGCTAAGCGCCGCCGGGGTTTGATCTGTAAACACTTTGTCCACTTCCGGTGCCTCCCCATGCATGAAAGCCTTCTGGGAAATTGAGGTCGCATAGTGTTTACAAAAATATGATAGCAAACCCTACAGTATCCGTATTTATGACAATTAACACGTGAAATATCACGAATTACCCATTTAATAAATACATATCTTCAATACAGTAAAGATACACGAAATATATCTTTACAAGTGAAGACGTCATTCTTAGTATTGTCCAATCTGAACGGTACATTCTTTTCTCTGCGTAGATTTTCAGTTTCAAGTTTAGATGAAGTGACGACAGAATAAGTCGTTGTGTTGTTTACCTTTGCAGCATACATTATTGTTTTTACATAACTACACAATTTATATAAATTTTGTCTGGAAAATATTACCAGACAATAGCAGCAAACGACAAAACTGCAGTGAAATCCATTCAAAATGGCGCTCTGTATTGTTGACGTCATAAGAATTTGGCGTAAAAAATACGCTACACATTCCCACGCTTTTCTGATGTAGCGATATTTGTGTCGCGTGACGGGAAAATATGTAAGAAATGGAAAATTTCTTGGGTTTCCCGTTCAATACGATATATTTAATTCAGTTGTATAAAACAAATATGTGATAGCAACAACAAAAAAACAGCGTTGTGGCAAAATTTGTAGCAGTCTGGACAAGTTATATCTATTATTCAAAGGGAGCCTACGATTGCGAATCCGGTTAAAACGGCCCCACTGCAGTAACGGCCCTAGTAAAAACGGCCCTAGTTAAAACGGTCCCACTCTATATATAGTATAGTATAGTATATACTGTATAGTACTGCAAGTACTACAAGTGCGTAATACAGGTACATAACTTGATATAATGTTAATAAAGTTACATGCACTTTCAAGAAATAAAGACATGCACAGATAAAAACATTATAATTGTGTTTGGTGTGGTAAAAAATGTACATTTGCGTGCTGTAAGACATTTATTGAGTGACAATAGTGCAAAATGTAAGGATATTGAGCGTGAACGGAATATTCTAAACGACAAAATGAATGCCATTAACAATATATATAATCATAATTTATAAATACAAGTAGTATGATCCGGTCCCTCGTGGTTGTCGGATTGTCAGTTAGTCATTTTCATAAAATAGATTTGGAGTCCAGCAGTTTGTCTTCATTTTCTTGTTAATCTATTAGAATGAAGGCGCATATCTTTAAGTAAGCTAACTTCAAATCAGAATACATTACCAGCAGGAGATGTTGATGCCGGTGTAGTGGTAGTTGGCGTTGTAGCTGCTGTAGTAGTCGGCCTAGTTGTTGCCGGCGAGGTTGTGTTGGTGCTTGAAGTGATGGACCGGCGTATTGTGATTTCGTTCTGGTCAAACAGGAGGGTGCCAATCATCAACGCCGGCTGGCCACTACTGGTTGAGGCGCGTCTTGCGTATTCCAATAGAACATCATGTATATTTGTCCCTAAGGTAGAAATCTGCCGTCCATCAAAGATTAGTGTCACGTCAACCTCGTCCGGATTTTCCCTGTGACAACCATATTATATTTGACACTTCACAGCCGTGATGATAATAACGTATACTTTATTCCATATCACTGGGGATAATTATGTACGATACATTCTCTAGCGCTTGTGATCCTATTGTATGATCCCTGTGATTACTGTGCTTATCACAATATGTGATACATTCTATAATAATGATAATCATAATACGTGATACATTCTATAATAATGATAATCACAATACGTGATACACTCTATAATAATGATAATCACAATACGTGCTACATTCTATAATAATGATAACCATAATACGTGATACCTTCCATAATAATGATAATCACAATACGTAATACATTCTATAATAATGATAACCATAATACGTGATACATTCTATAATAATGATAATCACAATACGTGATACACTCTATAATAATGATAATCATAATACGTGATACATTCTATACTAATGATAATCATAATATGATAATTCTATAATAATATCTAGAACACTGACAGGTCAGTAAGGGCCCCGTCTTGTGGCAATAAATCCCCCATAATCATCAAGAAGCAATCTGCCCATATAGCTGAGCTTGACGTTTGACATTTGGACTTCAAAAAGAATCGCAAGGACGCAAATTATACATTTTACATGTACTATGATGTTAGTCTTGTTTCCTTCCACCTCCACATTTGCTGGGCTAGCAGAAATGTAAATACCGGTGCAATACTCATTTGTTAGCTTTGATATGTTTTATCTCACCTGAAATACCTCCCCCATCAAGAGCCAGGGTCAAAGTAAGAGATCCGCTTTGTCTTTGACCTTTGGATCCAAATGACCTTGACCTTTAACCCAGTGACCCTGCTATTTGGTCAGTTGACTTATTGTTTGATTCCAACCAACTTTGCTTCATAATATCATAACAAAATGTTCATCAGTGAAAAATACAAAATTTGACCTTAACCTTGAACCTTTCGACCCCGTAACCTTGACCTTGAGTCAGTTGACTCCGTGTTAAGGTCTGAACAACTTTGCTTCATAGTAACATAAAAATAATGTTCATCAGTAAAAAGATACAATATTTGACCTTGACATTGACCAAGTGACCTTCATCTATTAAGTCAGTTGACTCCTTGTTAAATTCCAACCAACTTTGCTTCATAATGTCATAACAGAATGTAAGAATAACCCGATTTTTTTTTATTGGACTATAATGCACACGTTTGTTTTGGTCACACTACGAATGTCAACTATCGGGAAACCCACCATGTATCCGTTACCAAGGTGTCGCCATGGTCGATTTCGAATTAAAAAAATGGTCAACGAAATAAATAAAATAAAAGAGTTTAGAAATGAAAAATTAACCTAAATTTAAAAAAGTGAAGCATAAAAATGTATTAATAAAATAGATAAAAATCGAAACTATGACTCCTGACGATTTGAAAATAAAAGAAAACAGAACGTAAAACAAAAAAAACCAAAAAAAAACCCCAAAAAAACAAAAATTAGTAAAAGATTAAATAAATATGTAATAAACAACACTTGTTCAAAACCATGACACGCTAACGATGTTTTGATAGTTTCGTACACCGTCGATCTTACATGTAGAAAGAAAGATAACTCGACATGAGTGTATGAATCTATAAAGATATACGTTGAAACAGATTCGATTGTCATATTATGAACATAAGAAGTATAAATAAGAAAAGAATACCTGCATGTCGATATTCCTACAGAATATGAATGTACTTACCGGAAACTAAGGACTTCAGAAGTAATGTAATCTTCCATTTCTTGTTTGCCCCTATACAAGGCGACTAGCTAGAAACAGAAGAATATTTGTAATTATAAATCAACTTATACTTCTACATCATATCTGCAATTTATTATTGATTAAGGTGTATGTTTTCATAGACAATATGAAAAATATATGTAAGTTTTCCTAAAGTTATCTCCCTTGCATGTTTTGAACAATATTTTTAAAGACTCAGGTATGTTTTATATTATTAAATGAGTCAAAATTAACATTCGTAAAATGTTTCATCCATATAATCACTAACAAACACATTATTTAAGATTGTTACCATATTTTTAAAAAACAAACAAGCAAAAAACAACTTTATAATCAGGTTTCAACGATTGTAAGCTTATTTCCTATCCAAATGACAAGTAACTCAAATTTGACAAAATTTATTTTACCGCGCTTATAACAATTGTTTTTACAAAATATGAGCGATTTCCAAAACACAACGTTGACCAATTTTACAATATTTTTGCCCGGTTACTGTCTATTTACAATAATTAGGCCACATCACTGGAAGATATTTGATTTAGTTCTGACAAAGTTTACACTTTATAACACAAATATACCCCAGTTTCTAGTCAGAAAAGTTTTGATAGCCGTGACCCGTATTATGTTTTACAGATATAAAACGATCCTTTATCTAAAGCAGTCATGGCCATCCAAAACCTTTTAACTGTTTATATATGCGCCGACAAAAGAAATTAATGCATTCTTTCATGAAAGAAAATATGTGTGACTTACCTCGTCTCGAAGTGGTACGGCAAGGGAAGAGAATTCTATCGATGTTCTATCGGCTAGTGCTGGGATGTACGTTATATTGAGAGCTTGGAATGTGACCACGTACTCGGTGAAAACTGGAACATATATCAACAACGCTGTAGAATAGTGTAAGATATTTTACCGTAAAGCTCTTGTTAGTTCAGCTGTTTTAGTGCCGAAATAAAGTTTGCAGTAGAAAGCACAAAAGTTGCATAGCTACATGGATATTTCTGGGTTTTTTCTCAGGAAGTTCGTCGAATGCCAATGTTCGCCATCTTAGAAAAGCAATATTTCTTTTAAGTATCCATATTATTATATTTACATTTGCCCCCGCGCCGTCCCATTATAACAGTGTTAGAGGGCAAGTGTAGTTATATAGGCTATAATTACAACTGCTCGACTGTAATTACAACTGCCTGTTTCAGGTGTAGGAACATGTAAACAAACAAAATGGCCGCCTGAAATGTATTTCGAGGCAGGGCAAATGGTTTTTGTAGGAATATGTCTTAAAAAAGAAAAATATGTAAATATAAAAAATACCTGGTTGTCTAGATATAATTATCGTTGATATAATTACAAGTGGTCTCTGGTAAATCTACCATAAAACCCTAGCGTGTTTTATGGGATTTGCCAGAGGCCACTTGTAATTATATCAACAATAATTACCGCCAGACAACCAGTTATTGTTTAAGTAAACTTTTCAACAAAGTAAGTGAACATGTGTATATAGTGATGAGATTCCTATCGGCTTTTCCGTTGGTCATGAGTGACGAATGTCGTTGACAGTCATTATATATTGAGGTTCAAAAAGTAATATCAACGGTAAAATCTACATAAAACTTATCCTTATAAACGGATGTATGAAGGCAACTTTGTTTTAAATAGGCGTATGGGACTGTGCAGTAATTACAAAACAGTGTAAATTTACAGTCTATGAAAAGTACACTAAAATGACTATAAATGATCACCGGAGATTCCGGGGGTTACACTGACTTGCGTTCTCTGCACCCCTGGAATATGTAATGACAAAATCAAAGGCTTGATGTGCGCAACCTTGTGGATGATACTAGAAGGCTAGATGGAGCATTTAATGACGTCATCCTCAATCCACTTACGCTCTCTGCACCACTGGAATATGTCCTGACAAAAGCAAAGACTAGATGTAAGCGTCACCTTGTGGATGCTATTAGCAGACTAGTCTTTTGCATAGATGTACATCAAAAGAATCTGTCTGTTGCGTAACGGTACAATGACCGGCTTTGAAGTCGGGTGTCAATTATTTGTATTCTTCAAAGGACAGGTATCAGCCCAGCGATTGGTTAGTTGTTTTCGCGGAACTAATCAAATAGCTAATTGCATGCCTTCGATTTTGTCATGACATATTCAAGCTGTGCAGATAATGTAATTGCGCGTAACCCCTTGAATTTGGAGAATGCATGAAGTATAGGCATTTAAGTAGTCAGTAAAAAATAACAAAATACAAAATTATTTCAGTGTAGCATGGTTGTTTGAAACATGGTGAAAAGACCGATGGGTCAAAATGCAATAAGGTGAAACGACCCCGTGTGGTCAGAACATCACAATGATTAATTGACCGCCCATACCTCAGGTGTCCAGACTACTGAGATTCAACTGTAATACAAATGGATTAAGTTCGATCTATTTTACCAGCACAGCCAATCTACACATTCAACAGCATGCCTTCCTCTTAATTGTAAGCAATCTTCCTTAAACTACGTGTATCCCATACATGGTATTAATCTGACATATTCTTGAATATGTTGACCATACCTATGTCCAAAGGAGCCGGTGTGGTGTAGCCGGACATGTTGATTGGTTGGCCCATCGATTCGTCAGCTAGGTACACCAGCTCCTTTCCGATCTCCCAGATCACCCTGTTGCTAAATGTACTAGTGGGAGCTCCGTTGGCAATGGCAGTTATGATGTCCTGCTGTGTGACGTCATCTGTTCCGTTGAAAACTATCCTGAGGGTTAGATTGTGGGGATCCGTATCGCTGGAACATATATTACACATCGGACTTACTCCTTTTCAACTATATACCACATTACATCTCCAGCACACACGCAGGCATACACACATAGGGAGATATTAGACAGGTGGCATAGGACTAGTAGTTAACGCCTGATAAGGCAGCTCCTGCGATTTCCTCAAAATTGTATTGATTAATATATGCTAATGGTATAACTTGTATATCTATGTACTGCAAAGCGCTTTAGAGTGGCTTATGTTAGGTAGATAGGGCGCTATATCAAATGTATATTTTATTTATTTACTTTATTTCATTGCTACACGTTAAGTAACGTTTTACTTTTACATCAACGTTCATGAAATGATTACTGTTGACAATTAGGTATTCTCTAGATGCTGCTAACGAGATATCAGAGTATTTACTGGAAAACGCAATTTTTGATAATTTCCTATGTCTATGAAAATGTGGAATAAGCATCAAGCAAGATAATATAGGGCTAAAATGGTCCTAAATGACCTGCTCTTTTACAAGTGAAGAATCCCTTCCTCTTAATGAAAATTATTAAAACTAATGAAAATTAAAACTTTGAAAAGTCATTTCTGAAAAGAAACATTATACCTTGCGGGACTTGTATGAAAACAAATAATAAAGATGAAATAAACAGAATAAAATCAACAGCAACGCCCTCAGTGTAAAACCAATAGCGATGCTAGACCGCGATTCAATCCCTTGACTTCAAATTATTGTACGATCGCTCAATCCGGCTAAGACACCTGGTCGACGGAAGTGTCCTGGCACAACTGTGCTACAGTACCAGGCGACATGAAGTTAAAGGGAATTTTCTGTAATACGAAAAACCACGGGGCTGTGGGACAGGGATCCTTAGCTAAAAGAAAAAGCATGTGAGGGCGACTAATAGTCTTTTAAAAGAATATTTTGTAGTAGTTAAGAATAAAAAACAATCCTCTTAGATATGTTGAACACATGTGCAAAGGGATAAAGATCTTGTTTTATGTAACTGTAATGATATATTAGTGTAACAGTTATTTCAAATTTTGTGCAAGTTACAAAGTTACATTATATACCATTTAAAAAATTATGATTGCAATACAACTGAATTGAATGGAATAAATCAGCTCGAAATTGTTGTATTCAACAACGTGTTATTAATTTCGCTGCAACATATACATATATAATAAAAAAGATTAAATGTTCATGTGAAGTAGGCAAGTATTGAAAACATAATATCTAATGACCGACTATGAAGCGTTAGATCTTATTTTTTCTCTTTCTATATATACATTGTACAACGCAGATGTATGCTCCAAATTGTATGCACAAACAAATCCTTAGTAAAAAATAAATTAGTTTGAGGTTTCAATTGCCTGTAGTATTCAACTTGCTATTTTGTTATTCTTTCAGGTTTTTTCATTTCATTTATTTGTCATAAATTTCGAGAAAAACTGGTGAATTTACATATTATTTATTATCCTTTGCCGAGTATAATTCTATCAACAAACAGTGACCTACCCGATAGGGTGTACCAAACAACCGTAGTAACGATCCTTCAACACCGTAGCTGATATAAATGCGTCAATCTGAAAATAAACCGTAAACTGTCTTAAGGTAAACGGCACCAATGCATCAGTTATAGTCGCGAAGAAAAGCTCTACTGAGATTGCTTTTTTCTTATTCTCCCTTTTGTGTGAAGATGAAGCAATCAGATGGAGTTTTCCCTGTCAGTGTCCATTGTTTTTCCATAAGCTGGACATTTATTCTCATGCAATGCGTTTATATATACTACATGGATGGCAACATTGGTAGTGTGGATGGCAACATTGGTAGTGTGGATGGCAGCATTGGTAGTGTGGATGGCATCATTGGTAGTGTGGATGACAACATTGGTAGTGTGGATGGCATCATTGGTAGTGTGGGTGGCATCATTGGTAGTGTGGATGGCATCATTGGTAGTGTGGGTGGCATCATTGGTAGTGTGGATGGCATCATTGGTAGTGTGGATGGCAACATTGGTAGTGTGGATGGCAACATTTGTAGCGTGGATGGCAACATTGGTAGCGTGGATGGCAACATTGGTAGTGTGGATGACAACATTGGTAGTGTGGATGGCAACATTAGTAGTGTGGGTGGCAACATTGGTAGTGTGGATGGCAACATTGGTAGCGTGGATGACAACATTGGTAGTGTGGATGGCAACATTGGTAGTGTGGATGGCAACATAGGTAGTGTGGATGGCAACATTGGTAGTGTGGGTGGCAACATTGGTAGCGTGGATGGGAACATTGGTAGCGTGGATGACAACATTGGTAGTGTGGATGGCAACATTGGTAGTGTGGATGGCAACATAGGTAGTGTGGATGACAACATTGGTAGTGTGGGTGGCAACATTGGTAGTGTGGGTGGCAACATTGGTAGTGTGGATGGCAACATTGGTAGTGTGGATGGCAACATTGGTAGTGTGGATGGCAACATTGGTAGTGTGGATGGCAACATTGGTAGTGTACAATGTGAAGGTTCCGATTTTTTTTCTAACAATTTTAGCAACTATAATTCTATAAAACGCATGGTGACATGTGATTTTGATTGAACACTTCTTATAAACACGACTTCAACAAATATCTAACAATAGTGACAGTTGTTATAATATATTTCAATATTGTTGGTACCGTTTACCTTGTTCCACACTACGTCTGTTACTTATAACGTATATGGTCTTAACTCGCACTGCGCGTATACCAATGACATGTATAAATAAATGTTAAACGTATACAGTCTAAACTCAAATGATTGAATAAATCTACACATTTTCATGGAATGCTTCTTTTGAAATATGTTAAACAAAAAACAATGGTTTCAATGTTAATAATGTACTATAACTTGATTGCATCCTTGGGTTGGTAATGACGTGAACTCGCTGTAGATACACCTTTTTTAATACTTACGTCTTTACAGAACAGAAGCTGGAAATCCTTAAACACAGTAGAATTTGGGTCACTGTGATCCGGGATATATTTTAGGTCATAAAATTCAAATTCAGTATCAAACAGGACAGCATCTGACAAAAGTAAAAAGATAACCTCAACATCAATAATGTATGATAACAGACTCGTCGGAACTCAGGGTGACAACGGACCATCTAGAAGTATTGAAACGCTTTTTACATTGGCTCTTTGTTTTATTTACAAACGTCATAAACTACAGTTACTGTATCAGTTGATATTTTTATGAAGAGGTTGGTCTCAACGAAATGTCTCAACTTGTGTGATATTTCGTTAAGGCTAATATTTCTATAATGATTTTAATGTTAGAAATCCCTAAACTTCTTTTACGACTACAAATACAATGTAATACAATTTCCAGATTGGACTTTTCCTTTGTTCTGGATCAAGCAAGGTTTGTTTCTGCTTTACGTCCTATAACAGATATGGTCTTTTTAGAAGGTTCAGGCTTTGATGGTGGCAAAAAAACCCGGAACACCCTGAGAAAAACTACCGACCAGCGGCCAGTAACTGCCCACGTAGGTCTCAAACCCGCGACCCAGTGGTGGAGGGCTAGTGGTCTTCGACGGTCAGACGCCTTAACCACTCGGCTACCGCGTCCTCCCGGATCAAGCAACTACTTTTAAAAAGGCTACTGTATTGCTACCATATCTAATCCAAAACTAAATACCGACCAGTATTTCTGTAACATATGCCATGTTGATGAAGCTGCGACAATAACCAGAAGTTTACTATCTTTATTTCAGTTGTTCATACCGTAGGCAATCATTCCCCATGATGGATGAAATACGAGTAACGGTCCCAAGGTGTGACTGTAGTAGTTAAAGTAGATCTGCTGTGGAGTGGCGTCCTTGATATACGTGTAGAAATCCAAACTCTTGACGTCATAAGTCATGTTGGCCGAATCAAACCTCAGTGTTAGGTTCACAACTAGTGGCACCTCACTGTAAAGTTAAAAACGATCGTCAAAACATTATTTGTAAAGTCAAAATTTGCATAGTAAATTAGACATTATACTTTACAGTCCACTCAGGGAAAGATTAATGGTGAAAAATGATGGTCTGGTAGACAATAGCAATATACATATAGCAATCAATTGATATAGCTGAAGGATGTTTCGCCATGCATTAGTGCAACTTATCTACATGTGCTAGATGAATACCTTACATAAACAGCTGTCTAATATCTTTAATGACATCGCTGCTGATGAACACAGAACAGGTCCTTATACTATATATTATCAATAATTACCTAAATCGGACGTCCATGCACTTTTGAAAGTCGGCAGACAAAGTACTGTTAGCTGATATCAAATTTGCAACCTAAAATGGAAATACACCTCTTATGTATTGTATGCAAGTGTAGTATCCTAAATAATATGAATGCTTAAGAATCCAAACATATCTCGAGTATCTAATGGTGCTGATGTCAAAAACGAAAGAACGCAGCAATTGCATAGGACGATGCTGTTGTGTGGATCCGAGACACAAATTACCTCTTCTTATATTTCGAAAATATTGTTTGGTTTAAAACAGTAGGAAATCAAACTCGGATGTTTGAAAATTCAACAATTTCTTGAAAACGTTAAAAAGAAATGTTACAGACCTGAACTGTGCTAAATCCCTTACCTTTGCAAAACCAGAACTTAGATATACCCAAAATTTAAGTGAATAGCTAAACATTACATATTTTAAAATACAAGCTTACCGCTTTACACAGTGGTGTAGCCAGTTGTTTGTAAGCTTGAGTCTGTGGATCGGCAAGGTCTGTTAACCACATGTGGTCGAGGATTTCTAGCGTGAGAGGAACGTCAACATAGCCCGTATAATCAGAGAAGTATACAATATATTCTCCTAGATTATGTCCCATGTAGTCACCGTACCTCACCAGGGGGCGCTTGTTGGACAGGAAGTCTGATATACCGTCTTGCAGGTTTGCCATATTGAATGCACTATCCATGTATATCGCCAGAGTAGCCATTGACGAGTTGGTTATACTTGTAGCATTTCTAGGCGAAAGGAAGACATGTATTAGCTTTGCATACAAAATTCAAATTTTCGCGGCGTTTATTGTGAGGGTTACATATATCACAACCACTGTAAATAATTCAGCTTCTAATAAACTCTCTATCAGTTATACATCACATTTGCGTACTTTTCAGGTCGAATATGGCGAAAACAACACCCCACAAAGCGATATCATTCAGTGTCAATATGAAACATGAAAACTATTAGGCTCAACTGAAAGAAACATTTAAACAGTTCAAGAAGTATCGTAAAAGGAATGCCGACAACCAATGTTCTAAAATATTATTACTCTGCGGTAAACCAAAAACAATACCCATCAGGATCAGATTCTTTAATGTCCGACTTTCGGCTTCGAGCATACCTCGAGGTATACAATCAACAACACCACCCCTCGGGTTGAGATTACGCTGTCATGCCTGCACTTTGGTGGGAAGATTATTTTAATTCCCCTCCCACGTTTGAAATTGACAACTTGCAATTTATTTGTGTCAGTTTTTGCGACCTATGTCAAATGTCCAAGAAGTAATATTGCAAAACAGTAAAATATACACGTGTCAATTACGATTTGTGATTATTTGTGATAATTTAAATTCTTCATGCATAAATCAAAAAGAGAGAGACATATTGCATGAAGTGTAAATAAATATCGCATCTGAGAACAAATGTTCACACTTGAAGATATTAATAACCTATCAAACAGTACGACTTACTGAATATTTTCTACGATACATCCAACGTAGTTCTGTTCAAATGGCGAAGCACTCCGCATCAGATAGCCTACCTGTAACAAAACCAAAACTCAAAATCATTTGCAGAATCGTAAAAGTATGCATCTTGATGAAGTTACCTTTCAAAAAGGCCCACATGTGAAGGTTATATACTGAATGGAATATTTCCGAAAACACACAAGAAACTTTTCATTTGGAAATTGAGTGGTTTTTTTTATAGAAACGAATTCAACTGAAAAGTAGTTGCGTTATAATCATAATATCCCCGTGTTGTATGATATTGCGCCCGTATTCTATCTTTTTCCCAAATATATATATATTTGAAAAGTAAATCGATCGATTAGAATTTTAAGAAAGAGTGTATGTGACATAAAGTTACATACGTGCAAGCAATAAGTTCTAGTCGTTTCGGTACCCAGTAGTTTCGGTACCTTTAACATGGATTTTTCGGTAGTTGTTTTAAACACAACAAATGCTGCAGAATCATTATATTTATATTTAGCAGAAACCGGGACACCAAAAGACGCCTTTAGCACTTGGCCACCACGGCCCGTATCTACCGAAACGACTGAGTACCAAAACACCTGTTCACTAACCAATGCTCTCAATAGAATACGCAAAGTTGACTCGTATAAACCCAATGTAAACTAGAACTACTTACATCCGAACTTAGGCTGTTGTCAACCGTTCTGTAGCTGACTGATGCTGGATTCAAGAGGTCAGGGGTAAACATCAGGTTTACCAGATGGGCGTTCCAAGTTTTCCTGGTGGCGTTATAGTTCTGGACCTCCACCACCACATCACCTAAGGTCACTCCGAATCTGCCCGAGTATAGCGCTGGTTTTTTGTTGAGTAATTGGACACGAGCAGCTTTAAGTGTTGAAATAGTCTCATTACCGTTGAAGGTAAGCTCAACATTCATGATGAAAGGGTTGTCCCTTTAAAGAAAAAGTAAAAGAAATATGAAATTCCAAAATCGATTACAAAATGAAATTTATAATCATTTTGGATTGAGTAATTTCGAAATCAATCCCTTCTTTTTTTCCCCAGTGACTTTCAATTTTTAACAAATACTATACATTTTCTGTGATGTCTGAATATTTGGATTTTCTTTATATGTTACTAATATATTTAGAAGTTGTTCAATGAAGCAAATTCATGATATACATACAGACTACTTGTAATATTCCCAACATCAGATAATATATAATTCATTTCAATATGATGTATGAAAATACTGAACATTTTTTCCTGGGAATTGTGTAATCGTAAGGGTATTAATACTCACACTCATCATTATATGATAAAAAAATGAGCATTGTTTCGATATTAAATGACATGTTAACATTGTTATATAATTAACTGATAAATTGTATCATTGTTACATAATTAAATGACAACTATTTAACACTGTTTTAACATTAACTTACTACTGAACTCTATTAACAGTACAGTAAATCTGTATTGTTCAAAATTTAATTTACCTGAAGTTAGCAACGTTACAGCCATAAAAATGTGCAAATTGCTGCTGATGCTGACTACTCTCGAGTATGGTTTTCACCTGATTGAAAAAGAAATGTATAATTAATTGCAATATCTTTTATAAATTCAATATCAAAATTATCATGAAAGTTAAGTTAACGAATAAAAGGAATGCAGGATGCTACTAGGCTTTGGACACTCTTCTTATCTATGGACACCACATCAAAAGCTTGAATAGGATATTAGTGCGTTTCTGTAATATTCTGTACTTTCGATATAATGTTATAGAAAAAAAATGTCAAGAATTTGTTTGTGAATATATATTGTACATGAAATGATTAAAGTTGTTTTATAAAACTTTTCGGAGCTTGAATGCGCTGGTATATAACACAGTGTAACACAGTAACAGAAATGTATGCTATACGAGTTTGAACTGTAAATTTCAGGTATGTTAGAAAATTTGCAAGTTCCAAAGACGCAAAGATACCGTAGCTGTACAACTGACAGTAACAGTATACACACAGGTTGACGAGTGATATGGCATTCATTTCTCCCATACTTGTCCGTGAAAGACAGGAATAGACCCGTGAAAAGATCAATTTGTCTTCCCCTACACGCGCTGTGCTATTGACGGAATGGAATTATTGCCGTCAAATGACGTCGGCGTTTGAAATAGCTCCGTTGTTTTGACTGTTAAAATTTCATGATTTTTTTACTTATTATAAGATATATCAACTGATACATAACAGTTGTTGGAGTATTGAATACAAATATTGTTAACGTTGTGCTTTAAATGGATTTCTATTTTCATGTTCAGGGTTCATCACACCTATATAATTAATATAATTGTATCCATGCGCGTCAAGGAATGCAAGCATATGAAGGTCACGGAGTAGTGACACTGGCATTTTTATTTCGAGTACGGGAGATACAGAATCAAACATGGGTACGGTCCGTGGACCACACCCTTGTAAGATTCTATTAATCTATCATGTGACTGAGAAAATGATTAAACAGTGACTTTCTGTTTCCGTTAATACGATAATACCTATACCAAAATTTATCATTTTATAAATTTGGTATCTTTATGGCCTACCTCGTTGCAGAATGACGTGGAGAGCGATATAAATTCTTGTGATGAATTGTTTGACAGGTCTGTGGTAAAAGTCCTGTTCAATACCGACAAGTAAAATACAAATGTCGTCCGCAACACTACAAAATAATTAACGGTATACAAAATCAAAATCGTATTTATAGGATCCCTGTTTCACTGCCAACAAATGAATCTAAGCATATCTAGTACTTAAAGTTGACATTTGACCTCATTACTGTAATTAAGAAAAAGATACACACTGTTGGTCTACATAACAAACCAAAGTATCATGACTCCAGAAAAAAAGGATATCCTTGTTTGAAGTTTTTAACATATCTGACCCCAATGACCTTGAAAGTAGGTCAATGTCCTTTAAATAAGGAAACTTTATAGCACTCCATCCCAGGTACCGTCTGGCCAAATATCACGACCCTAGGTCATCCAGTTCTTCAGGAGAAGTCGTTCAAAAGAAAAGGTTGACGGACGGACGACGGACGCCGCAGTACGGCATAAGCTCATATGAGCTAGAAAAAACAATATGCTAATAACAAAACAGTGGCCCATCCCACTCGCGCAACAGCAATATCAAAACATTATCTAAAGGGAGGCTACTCTATGTACAAACCCCTGCAGTGGAATCATCTAGTGTTTCACCTACCGGGGGGAAGGGTTCCTTAACATTTGATAAACAAAGACCATGATAAGATGTCATTTGTACGAGGGTGTTTTACATCAGTAAAATAATGGAATGCTCATTATATAACATATTTTCGTTTAGTTCACTAGTGATCGTGATATAATATCGTTTAAATGATTCACATGTATTAAAAAGAACGTCGTTGACGGATCACACGTGTAAATTAAATCGATGCCAACACTGTTTCGGGCCAATCTAGCTTCTTTGTATAAGTACAACTTTAATTTTATAGAATTAATTTGTTATAAATATTCCTAACACAATATATATCACTATCAAATGAAAACTGTCTTTAAAAGATATATTGAAGAAAATTACCATGTATTTTGTCAAAAAAATAAATGAGACATATATTGATCTTGTAAATTCGGTAACGCTATAAAAATCGATTATTGCTTATTATGCATTGCTGTTTACTATTTAAAAAGTTACCTTGGTCACAGGTCGGTCCGGTTCTTCCCACTGGACAATTACAGGTAAATGACCCGTCAATGTTCTGACAGCTTCCGGGACCACACGGCTGGGTATCACACTCGTTAATGTCTGTACAACAAATGAACATGCTCGTTTTGATATGCACGTAACAAATCTTAGATTGTTTTATTTGCAGTACCGAATGTATTAAGGCTATATATCTATTTTTGAATTCCCGGGTTGACAAAACAAGATAATTGCAACAAAAAACGTACAGTCACCTAGTAACAATACATATTTTAGATATCTAGTCACTGTATATAAAGGTTATACCCCGTATTCAGTTAACATATCATGTATCTGGTCACTTTATACAAATTACATCAGTTACACAGAAGATACTTAAGATATCTGGTCAGTATACATTCAAAACATATCCATTTCACTGTACATAAATTATATATCAGTTCACGTTATATATATATACCTTTTACCCAGTATATTGTAAATAAATATCTAATCACTACATATACAAACCAAACACCGTATAGAGTAGATATATCAGATACTGGGTCACTACTCATACATGGTATACCACGTATGCAGGCAATAAAATAGATATCGGGTCGTTAAATAAAACTTGCGGGTGGATATCTATAATGCAATTAGTAAAACAATAAAACAACCATCTTCCCATGATGTACTTATATATTACGCTTGATGCACATTCATGAACGGTAGCAGATATATGCTATTGTTTTAGTACTCGAGGTCAAGTCACAATGGCCTTCCAACGATGTACCTATAAACAAAGTTTGATGCGAATCAATGAAACAGCAGCTTTGATATGCTCCGGATACCATTATTTTGGTACTTTGGGTCAAGGTCAAAGGTCAAATTGAGGTCACACTGACTTCAATTTAGCGTCCTTCAGATCGCCTCCCGAAGATGTACTTTTATAAAACGGCTAATGCCCATTCATGAAACAGCCATTGAGATATGCTCCTGAAACCACTATGTTTACCACTGTAGGTAAAGGTCATAGGTCAAACTAAGGTCGCCTGACCTTCCCATGATATACCTTTGTACAAGATCTGATACCAATTCATGAAACAGTGGCTGATATATGCTCCGGAAACCACAATAAGCACGGACGGACGCACGGACGCACGGACACGGACGAAGTGAATACTATATACCCCCGACTTTGTCGAAGCGGAGGCATGAAAAGATAAAGGTCCTCATGTTGCAACAAGAGCAGCAGATCACTTTTGGTTTGTTCGATATTTCTTAAGAAAATGTCACAGAAAGGAAACCCCTTGACCTCCAAATGGAAAGGGGGTAAGCAATGCTGTTCGCCTCCTACAATGACATACAGTTGGATGGGGCATTGATGTATTACCGGTTGAGCAGTCCTGGCCAGTCCAGCCGCTGGCGCACACACAGACGTATGACCCCGGTACGTTGATACAGTCCCCGTTGTTGTTACATGGCAATGTGTTGCATTCATTCACATCTACAGGAAAAGTGGTAAAACAATGAATAAGAAATAAATTATTTTATTCTAAATTTGTACACCAGCTTACGTAGAATGTGCAGAAAATAGTAAAGTCGGTAACGCACTTTTGAAACGGTAAGGTAGGTAACTTTAAATAAAAAAGATTTATCAATATACCGAGCAGAATTGTGCTGAATACTGACATTAAATTGCATTTTGATAATAAGTTCGCGTAAATATTTTCCAAGTAGAAAAGATCGTAATCAGAATTTCTGTCTTTTTTCTTATTTACACTTATAGAACAACATACTACATAGGTAAATGCCCCTGTCATCATGGAAGCGACATTAACTGCGCTCGATGAGTTACGATAACTTACGAATAGTGTATGGTTTTATCATTGTGATTTAGAAAACGTGTTTGTTTTGACTAAATAACACTCACCTCAGCTAGTATAAGACACACACATACACATGAATACAGTTCAACTTTATTTTCATCTGTCCAATGGCCAGTCGGTACGCAAACGTAACACTGTACACATTTTGTAAAGTAAGGGAGATAACTCTGCAGAGTAAACGTCGGTCTACCCCGACCGCGTAAATTACCCCGCACGTATAGTTTTGACCTTCGGATCGCGTAATTTTCACCCAGCGTAAATAACCACGTTTACAGTAGGTTTACCGAAGTAAGAACAAACCCGTTATTCGAATCTATCAGCGAAGAAAGATATGCAAGGGATACTTGAGATGAACGTATCACACAAGGGCGACTGGACCTTTGGTAACATTACAGTATGTCAAAAGGAATTACACTACAGCATACAGATGTTTCGTCCTTTAGGTCTCATCGGTAATGCTAGGGGCCAAAAGTTGGAGACAGAGAATCAAAAAGAAACAATTGTTTCGAAAGTGTAAACATATTCTGCTTCATCGACGTCAGCCGCCAAGGGATTCTAGGTTAAATCAAGTAATATCAGGTTATCAATGTAAGAACCAAATTTGCGACAACCAAACTTAAAAACACACTATTTAACATAGTCTAAAAACGACATTTTGTTTCAATGAGATCGTGATTGCGACCATCAAACTTGTAGAAAAATAAAATAAAATTGTATGTCAGGTTCGCGAAGTCAGAACCATTTTCTTTCTTAATCTTTATCAACTGCATCTATGTATAGCTTGTTTTATCAGTCTATTCGTCAGCATTTTACATCTGTCAAGGAAATCGTAATATTCGGAGCTCCCGTGAATATCGAATTAACAGCGACAGTTGAGGCATGGGATGCAGGGGTTTATTGTTTAAGCATCAATACATTTGTAAATGATATTTTCGCAAATATAAATCTTTGCAAATAAGTCATTTAAATGATCATATGATAAATTATTATTCACAAATATTAGGTTATTCACGGTAACATCTTACCTGACGAGCACAAATCACCCTGCCACCCAGGGGGACAGTCACAGTAGAATGACCCAGGGGTATCCACACACACTCCTCCGTTAAAGCAGGGGTCGGCAGCGCACTCCTTGATGTCTACAGTGTAAAACATACGTGTGACACGTACTTAAGTGGTTTACCGAAGAAGTTTCTATATCAAAGACACACGTTCACGATTTTGTCTTTGTTAGGATCAGAAGAATGTTTCGACCAAACAAAACTAAAATAATTCCGATCTTAACATTAAACCAATATTCATATTAAACAAAGCTGAAATAATACCGATCTTAACTTTAAACCAATATTCATATTAAACAAAGCTGAAAGAATACTGGTCTTAACATTAAACCAATATTCATATTAAACAAAGCTAAAATAATACCGATCTTAACATTAAACCAATATTCAGCTGAAAGAATACTGGTCTTAATATTATTATAACAATCATATTAATTTCATTTTCTTCTTTTTTTTCAATTATATTTACTTTTTAGATTCAATCCTCATATCGCCGAAAGTAAAATAATAAAATTACGATAAAAAGGCATATACAACAAAATATACAAATACGTTTCGTGTTCGTAAAACCTATATTCAGTAGTTTGTAGGATATTACCTTCTCCACAGAACTGTCCGGTAAATCCAGTTGGACATTGGCAATAGAAGGAACCCGGAGTGTCCATGCAGTCGGCTCCATTTTGACAGGGTGATGTCAAACATTCATCGTCATCTTAAATGAAAGTAAGATAAAACATGTCATACAGCAAACATAAAAATATTTCGAGTCGACATGAAATCACATCAAAAGGAGAAAAGATGACTAAAAGTATATGCTAGAACATCATGAACTGCCATAGGCCGCTAACATGTTTTCCGTCCAAAGAAAGAAAATCAAACTGTTAAAAAGATGGGAGACTCGTTAATATCCAATATACTGTATGTGAATATAATGTGAGCAAAGTAGTTATGACTTTTTGTACAAAAGATGTACAACAAGAGTTGATCTATAGGTAGACATAGGCACTTGAAACAAGTATACGTATTTTATGATGACAAAAAATATCATTACAAATTTATAAAGATGCTTCAAAAATAAGATTGATTGAAGTACGAATGACCGAACGAATAAAACGTCTGCAGAGCGCCGAATCAAACAATTGAAAAACTAGCCTATTTTCCAAAATGTAATTATTTGCTACGTAAATATCATTCCGCTGCTTTCATTCGTAAGAAATCAACTCGATGTAACGCATACGTTTGCAAAGTTACGAAGTAGCAGCAACGTAAAGACATGGATCCCACATTGCTTTCATGGTTAACTTTGTGACAGTTTTGAACCTATCAGTGTGTTCCTCTTCCGAGAACATTCAAACAGCCGCAAATTTGCATTAGTTTACTCTAGGAATAATAAGTAGTTTATGAAGGTAAAACAAGAGTGTCCATCGCTTTGTCACACAATATTATCGAATTCGTTTGAACAGGAACTGCAATGGTAAAGAATAAGATAGATTCATAGCTTTTGCGATATTAAACTAGACAAGCCATTCGGATTTATATGTCTCGCATGTGCCCCGCTTTGACCAACAAAGCACATATCAGAGAAACTAAGTTAAATGCAAAAACTTTATGTTGATGTCAATGAACCATGACAGGTAGGCCGCATCCAGCAGTTGATGCATGGGTGAGATATACTACCTAAGATGCATCTATGGTCCAAGTTTGGTCGGTCTAGCACTTAAATTTTCAGAGAAACTAAGTTAAACGCAAAAACTTAATGTTGACGCCGCCGCCGCCGTCGCCGGAAAAGAAACACCTTAGTCTCGCTTCCGGTACTTCGTGGCGGCGAGACAAATACGGTAAGACATTAATATCTAACTGGCCATGTGGTTAAACGAAAATCGCTACAGTGACTTTGGTATTGACTTTGGTAGGAACTCATCCCTGGTGTTGACATGCTTGACATATCTGCATACTTTGATAAAAATCCGTTAAGAAATAAAATAGAGTCATAAAAATGAAGTGCGACGCGCCGTGACGGACATACTTAGGAGACACTAAATGTCCCGAAGAGATATTCAGAATGTGGGTCTTACTTTGGTTACACGTAGCACCGGACCATCCAGGATTACAAATGCACGTGAAATCACCAGAGGAAGCATCGAGGCACGTGGCTTCATTCGCACATGGATTCGAAATACAGGCATATATGGCTGCAATGAAAGCAATCGTCAGACAAATAAAGTGTTGAAATATATCAAAAGATACCTGTAGCAACATGCATAGTTATACAACAAACACATTCTTAATACCAACAGTAAATATGTTTTTAATCAAATCCTCTTCACCTAAACCATTATTTCTCTAGTACATGTATTTCAATGGATTTGTCTGTAAGCTTGATTATCGTATCCTCAATCATCGCCCAGTGAAAAGCTCGCAATATATAACCAAAGGATTGAAGAGATTGTAGCATCATTCGGAACCTATATGATCCGGTTTACTCATTTGTATTTGCAATACAAGAATGGTAAACATCAGTGAAACATATATTGCTATTATCATAATATATCTTTATTTATTTATCTTATTTTATGTTCAAGTAAATTTTGTGTATTTCAAGTATTAACATTTGTTTTGATTTCGAGTAAATATTGTGTGTGTTATGCTAACAGATCATAATACAAATTAACCACGACACTTACTTTCCTCACAATGACGCCCAGAATTCTGCGGTAGACATGTGCAGTCATAGGAACCGTCTTGGTTAGTACAAGTACCACCGTTCAGACAAGGGGAAGTACTGCACTCATTAGTATCTTAAATATATTGAAATTTTTAATTTGACATATACAAATGTAAACTCAAATTATTTTTTTTGTGCTGCTGTATTCAGGAACTTCAAAAAAGGACATAAACTGAAGACTGTGTTAATGTCTGCAAAATAATAAATATTTGCGAATAACACTTGAAAATTTGTTATAAGTTTGACAAAAAGTAGACTTGAATAAACATATCTGCACCTTCATCTTACTTAAATTCAATTTAAAGTCATAAGCATTCAAAATAGGCATATATATTTTCGAACATCCCGTACATGTGGGTTTTGTTTTCAAACGAATAGGTGTATTGACAGGAAAGCAATAAGTCTTCAATTCATCAAATCAATTATGTTTGACATTAACCTATATCACAGTTAGTTCCCATCCATCCTGTCTCGCACACACACCGGTAGGTCCCCGGTTCGGTCACACAAGTTGCCCCGTTTTTGCAAGGACCAGAACTACACTCGTTGATCACTGAAAAACATTTAAAGGACCAGAAATACATTTCTGTACAAAGAGATCGTATTGGCAAATCAAACTATTATATCAAAATGATACTGAATTTAATTCGAAGGTCAACCATTGTATTAAACGTATTTTCCATGATATTCCTGTATTATTGGAAAGATTTTGAATGGTATAAGCATATGAGATAATTTCATTTAAAAGCTACCTTGATCACAATCATGGCCTGTCCATGCGGCCGAGCACGTGCACGTGTAAGATCCCAGGATGTCATTGCATGTGCCGTCGTTTTGGCAAGGGAACTGGAGGCACTCGTCAATATCTGTCAATGTATAAATCTACTATTTTAATTACGGATCATAAACAAATAACATTATTTCTAGAAATAAAAATACATCCTTTAATTTTGCTAGAAGCTTGCATACCGTAAGTTTCACTTTGACAACAAAACAAGTAAAACTCATCCAATTTCTAAAAAACATTCCCATAGATTCAGTAAAGGAACAAACTCGGACTGAACCTATCGTGGTAATGGAGCTAGCTCTTTACGTCCCCAAGTCAAGACCTGTATGAAACCAGACAATTTTTTGATGAATACTTCACTTTCTGCAGATAAGATGCTGGTGATTGGAATGAGAGAAAGATACATTTACTTGCCCAGAGGCGCAGAATAGGAAAATTTTACACTCGGGATTTTCAAATTGGTGCCAAACCCTCCACAAGCCTCGGGTTTTACCCTATTTGAAAACCCCTCAGGTGGAATTTTATATCCTACACTCCTGGTCATGAAAGAGTCTGATATAATTGCTGCGATGTTTGCACGACCTTCCACACAAGTGTGGCTAGTTTGGATACCTACCCTCTGTACAGAACTGTCCTGTGATTCCAGGAGGACAGCGGCACGTGTAGGAACCTTTGTTGTTTATGCACGTGCTTCCGGACATACAGTTATCTATACCCAAAGCACACTCGTCCTCATCTATGAAATAATAATGTACGTGTAGCACTGGCAGTTAATTTTGTAAATGATATTAACATTTTGGCATATTTTAATTATATTAGAGCTATTAAATGCAATAATTCAGATTTAATGGGTTTTTTTTGGTAAAAAGCAGTTGAATTAAACCAATCAAACTGAATCATAAGAAATAAGAATCATAATAGAGAGAGAAAATGCAAGAATAAAACTGCATTGGTAAGAGAAGAACACAAATGTATTTGAAACAAGCAGTCTGTGGGTATTTATGAATCAAGATACGTAAGTCCAAAACCTCTTTGCAAAGAATCAACATCCTAACAACATTATTAAGCAAACGGTAAGCCATTACAAAACTTTAACCAAATCCTTAACAAAAGGTAATGGACGGACAACTGAAGAACGGACGGACGCAGACAAAACATATAGTCCCCCGGTTTCACCGGTAGGGGACTAACAAGTGCCTTTTATTTGTCATAACAAAATATGACTACTTTCATAAATGCGAGAAATGTTAACTCCAAAATTATAGGGAAGAAATCATGAATTCATCGTATCTCTTCCGACTAGTTTACATGATGAAATCAAAGACAAAGGTAATGTTCTTACCCTCGCTGCACACAAGTCCAGTACGCCCCGGAGGACATACACACTTGTAGCCGCCATCTTGATTCACGCACGTGCCTCCAAACAGACACATCGTCATACCGAGGCTGCATTCGTTGATATCTGAAAGAAACATGTTGAAAATAATTGAATATGGTTTTTTCCTTGTAAAACAATGTAAACTTTTGAGTTTTTTTAAACCCCTAAGCTAACACTTTGTCCACCTATAGTGCTTTTCCATGTTTGAAAGCCTTCTCGGAATTTGAGGCCGCATGCTATCTACAAAAAAATATAATAGTAAACCCCACGATATCCGTATTTATTACATTTACCTGTGAAATATTATGAATTCTTCGTTTGATAAAATATTTTGTCTTCACTGCAGTCAAGACGTACGAAATGTAATATCTTCACAGGTGAATATATCTTAGTATTGTCCAATCAGAACGATACTTTCTCTTCACTGCAAAGATGTTTAGTTTCAAGTTCAGATGGAGCGACGGCAAAATAAGTGGCTGTTATGTTAAACTTTTGCAGCATATATTATGGTATTTACATAACTACACCATTGATATCATTTTTGTTTAGACATTTTACTGGCGTCAAATAATACGCTACAAATTCCCGCACTTTTCTGTTATAGCAATATTTGCGTCGCGTGATTTTGTAGAAGATTCGAGAGTCAACAGCTTCTAAAAGAATCCAGCAGCTTAGCTGCATTTCTTGGTTATTATGTTAATATGAAAAGACAAAGCCTAAAACGAGCGTTGCTTTTGTTGAATTCCGATATTTACTGATTCAGAATGAGAAAATATAGCTTTCAGAATGAGATTAGACAAACTTTATTCAAAGTCGGCAAGTCGAGTAATAGCAATAAAACACAAGCTCTAATGAGACTTTAAGACAGACATAACACTTGCGGGAAACCGGGGCAAGTTCGGCCCATTTTTATCAAAGTCCGCCCTGGGAAGTATGGCAGCACGTCCGTTTTTGAAGAATTATTTAACTTTTCTTGTTTAAGATCGGTTGGCCGTGGGGCATCATCTTAGTTATGACGTTATAAAGCATGCAACGTCAGATTTTCCCGTCAATTTTACGACTGTCTATGTGTTGCAGGGGCCGAACCAGCCCGGACCAAAACTAATATTTCAATAAATTCTTATAGTACAGCAATATGATAGTAAGTGCTTGGCTTAGCTGTTATGTATATCATTTGAAACTGTCAGTGTGTTACACGTTCGACCGTAAAAAAAAGTAGCAATTCCGTTTACAGAAAGTTCGCCTAACTAGAAAGAGGCGAGATCATCATTTTCTTTCTACTCTCTCAAAAGTAACACTTTCCTGTTAAGTAATTTTACATTAGTGTTTTCCTCGCCATGTTTTCGTGTGAATGTCCAGCCTACTTAACTGCTAGATATTTAAATATGTAAATAGTAGCTCAAAAACAAAAAGATCAGGGGTTGGCGAACTGGTCCCGATCTCCCGATTGTAGACCTTTTGTATCATAAATGATTGGTAAAAATGTATTCACAGTATATTGTTTGCAGCAATGACGCAATTTTCTTTCAGTTAAAGCTAAAGTCGATATTTGTTCTTGTGCGTAACGTATATGGTAGGTCGGGTGGCGCAGTGTATAGGGCGCTCGTCTTCACCAAGATGGTCGGATTCGATCCCGGTCACCTGCCCGACCACGCGGGTTTCCTCCGGACACTCCGGTTTCCTCCCACATTAAGCATTATTCATCCGCGTGTTTCCGCCAGGGCACAAAAAGAATGATTGAGATAAGCTGTGAAAAAACTGTCAGGTAATTGCTGTAGAAAACAACTCATATTTCGTATTTTACGATAAATCTAATTAAATGTATAAAGATATTAGTTAAAAATTAGAATAAAAATGAGAACATTGGAATACTTTGATGTAACTGAGATTGTCGTAATATCGATATGTAGTCTCAATTACTGTTCCACCCATAAACACCGGGTTAAATTTCAAATTGTGTGACAGTCACCGAGGTTTGACAGGTAAGGATGCCAAATAAAATTAAACAGTTTCTGTCTGTAACTGTAATAAATCGGAACGCTGTATGAAAAAGTAATACGTCGCTGAAAAAGGGCGTTGAGCTCGGGTTGGTGGTCTGGAAAAATCATTGTTGATGTCGACATAAATGCATTATTAATTGTTTCTTTTATGAGTGGTGACACATGAATAAAAAATGAAGATATATCCCGGTAGAAATATTAACAGAACCTGGTTGATGACAAAACAAATATTTACTTTTGTACCTGTAGCAAAAAACAAAAGCAACACAAGTCCTTAAGCACCGAAAAGGAGTAAATGCAACGGACATCAATTCCAAGATTTGCTATGATTTGAAGTTATTTATCATCCATACGGAAATTACTGAAGAATGGCGATGGAGTATGTATGACATGTTTGTGACGGCAAAGTATAATAACTTCTGAACGATGTTTCATGCATGTCAGTATATGTAAATGTTCATGTTTGTGTTGAAACATATTAGTCTTTGCTTCAAGGATACACTTCCGGTTTCCGCACTGGACGGCAACTTCCGAACGAAAAAGAATAAGTGCAATGTGTAGCAAGGGGAAGCAACTCTGTTTACGCACGCATGTGTTACCATTAAAGAGCTTTGGCGCCCAAGAGCTACGCTCTTATTTATTCATGCATGGCCATTCCCCAGTACATGTCGCGAAATTAATCAAATCATTGATGGGGCCTATTAATACAGCAAAATACAGGAAAGCAAAGAGTTTATATTTAGATCCGGACTGAAACTTTTATTTACTGGAGAACTTATCGATTTCGTTGCGTTTCTTATCACTATCATTATATTTTGTTGTTCTTGGGTCTTCTAATTATATTTTTTTCATCCCCCAAATGGTTTCTCGAGGTTTTTTTCTAAGAAATCACTCGCTTGAGCATTGGTAGGCATATGTAGATGTACGTATTGCATTTAATTTCCCGATCGGTCGTCAAACATGGCCGCCGTGGCCCATTATTGTTTGACACATCTACTGGTGTACGCCAAGGTGATGCCAACGGCCACTCACTATGTCTTAGTTTTGTTCTGAATAAGTATTCTTTCCAATGCTTCATTGCACTTTTGGGGATTTCTGTAATGGTTCCCTTTTACAATTAAAACTTGTTTTCTATGTTTCGTGGTTACTTTTTACAGGACATTTCATACATTTCCCGAATTCTTATTTGACCTTCTGTTTTCGAATTTTATTTCATGAACACAAAAATAAAACTGAATGTAGTGAAACTTTGTCAATATAAGTCTTGAATATACATTAGTTACCATCCGAGCAGTTCTGTCCAGTCCAACCCGACGTACAAATACACGTGTAGGACCCTGCACTGTCCACGCACGAGGCCGCGTGGTCACAAACTCCTGTTTGGCATTCGTTGACATCTGCAAATATATGGTATTATCATGAGTAATCTGTTTTATGTACGGATGGCAACGCATCTTTTAACGTGTATGATGGCATCCATGATATTTACGTTTAAATAATTTAATTGATAAATTACCTCTTTTGGTGCAGTAACATAATGGTTGAATACGATATATATTAAACTTGTACAGAAAATTATAATATTTTGTAAAATTCGTGAAATATATATGGCATTCATCGTTAAATAAGGAAATATTCTATATTTCTCCCTCTCCCACCTCCCATCCCCCCACTTCATCAAAAATAAAGTATATCCATGTCTTTGCTTTAGATAATAACCTACTTATTTCACAGTATGTTCCTTTCCAGCCAACTGTACATTCACATGTGTAGGATCCGTCAACGTTATGACAAGAGGCGCCATTGTAGCATGGCTCAATCTGTACATCACATTCGTTAATATCTGTATGGAAATGTAGAAAACATTCAAAAGTCTGCGCACAAAATATACCACACCATCAGTACGCAAGAACAAACTATACCATATCTTCAACACCAAGGGACAAAATATTTTACATTCTCAAATACCAGGACAAAATATACCAAAGCGTCGAAATTACCAAGACAACATATACAACATCGTCAGTACAAAGGGACAAAATATGCTACAGCGTCAATACACAACGACAAAATATACCACAACATCAACACACAAGGACAACACATAATAAAGCATAAACATACCTGGACAAAATATACCACAGATCGTCAAATGAAATGTTCACGTATTGACAAGCAAATATCTTTTAAGTTTTGGTATCTTAAAAATAATGATGTTATTTGCGGACTCTTGCATTCCAGGAAAACAATACATGAACTTTAAATAAAACTAAATAATTTATTCTTTAGGGAATACATACACATTAAATACAATGTTTACATACCAACATCACAGTTGAAACCGGTCCACCCTGCAGAACACGTGCAGAAATATGTGTTTGGTCCATTGAAACACATGCCTCCGTTAGCGCATGGGCTATTAGTGCACTCGTCGATACCTGTATTATAGGCGCAGTATCAGAGACGGTTTAAATGCATATGGATATGTTGAGTATTTCGCAGATATGTGAAGGTTATAGATACAAATCTTTCACACGTAATTAGCAAACTCGTAAGATAGCGCATTTACACCTCCTTATTTAGAGGTACGTTCCAATACACCAGTTGTAATTAACATTATTTTTCATTTAGAGTATTCTCCCATTTGAATAAACGACGAAACAATAAAAAAGAAGTTGTTGTTTTCTGGCTAAGAGTTACTTCCCTTATCGAGGCAACCATATTTCGTTTTGATGCTGTGCATTGATTATTCCTGATTCAATGTTGATTAAGTGTAGTATTTGCTTCGCATAGGTCCCTGGAGTTTTTGTGTATTTTTAGAAATGCTTTCAAATGCACAAAGTGCGTGGCAAGATAGTTCTGTTGGAATGAACTTAGAACAAAAGGTATGTATGGTAATAATACATTTCAACTTTATTGTTCTTTGGGAAGTCGGGTTGCGCAGTGGATAGCGCACTCGGAGTTAAAAAAAGTATGGGATCTTCTGCTCGACCATGTTTGTTTTCCCCGGGTACCGCTGTACTCCGGACCTAAGTTAATACTTTCATTAACTATATGTAGACACCTAAATTGTGTCGCTGGCATTTCTTTATAGTAGGTTTGTGTTAATTTTCTCACATTTTGCGGCTTTGCACAGAAGAAAGTTATGCTACATTGAAAAATAAATGCAAAGACTAACGCGAAATTAAGATTACCAACAAAATTGTTATGATTACAGTACTTACGTGTGGAACAGAGAAGCCCAGTCCATCCACTGGTACACTGACAGTGAAATGATCCGTCCGTGTTCACACAGCTGCCGCCGTTAGTGCAGCTTACCCCCGTACACTCGTCAATGTCTACGGTGTATTGACACAACATAAGATAATACTAAGTTTGTGTGGAGTTATCTCCCATTTTACCGGTACTATTTTCATTTTTGTAATATTTGTCAAACGGATTTGTAATCAAAACAACAATAAACATAAACTGATTGGCATTGCAATCGTGGAGCTGGGGAGGGGTCGTAGTGTGGGGTGGGGTAGGTAAGGGTGAGGCACTGCTTAAAAGGTGGGGGCATACTCCATTAATGCGCCGTTATCTATTCGGTCTATTTGTAAATAGTTTGTCACAAAAAAACAATCTGCACAATTGTCTTCTTATATATACCATACCATACAATTACTAAGGAATATATACATTATCATGCTATTATTTACTTATAAATATCACCATACACTTATCTACTTACATAGATATACATATACATTACTATGTTATCATCTACCGAAAGCTGTTACTCTACAATTATCTACTTATATAGATATACATTAGTATATTATCATCTACATAAACCTGTTAACTGCACAGTTCTCTACTTATTAATCTACTTATAAATGCATAACCATTAAATTATCTAGTGATATATGCATAACTAGAGATATTTTCAATTAATGTACAAGTTACCATACTATAATACGCATTAACTAATATATACATTACCGTCTAAGCATTGTGTTCCAGTCCACCCAGTCGGACATACACAGAAATATCCCCCAGGGGTGGCCACACACGTTCCATTGTTTCTGCATGGACTGCTGTCACATTCACCCAGACCTACAACATTTTAAAATATCTTATGTAAAATTCCTTATTATTACATACATAATATTTTTTATATATAACAAGTTAAGCAGTCTTTAACCCAATCATGAACACTGACGTTTAAGATTAACATGTATCTCATTTTTCCAATTAATTTAAAAAAACCATATATAGATTTTATTTTATTTATAGACATTTGATATATCGTAGTATTTCTCTGGGTTTTTTTTTTTTTACTTATAAAGAGTTGACCTTAAGTCTGAAATGGCACATGTCATAAACTATAAACAGTACTTCTTATGCAAAGGAATATATCAAAGAATTTTTAGTGCTATATTCAGTTATATTCGAATACTAGCTCCGCCCATCTTTCACCTGATTAGCTCTGTCTCCCAAAAAGATACAGGCCATACAAAGTCCATATGTCACACATTGGCCATCCACTAACGAAGTTCAAAAGCCAATTCTAGCAGATAGATATTTAGTTTACTGGTAGGGTCACACCAACTCTAGGACACATTATGACTGTTTGTACATTTTTTTAAAGCAGGAGTTACGTCGTGTAGCTAGTACTGTTATACCCAATCTGTGGTGCCCAGGGGAAAGTACATATGCATGTATACTATGTTATTGATGACCTTTATCATTAAAATGAAAAAAAATCAAAAAAATCTTATAAGATATATATCATTCGTGTGTACTTCAGCTATATCATAGCAGCAGCACCAGAAGGAAAGATATATGTTTAAATTAAATTAAATTAATTTAAGTTAAATTTGGCTAATTAAGGTATTTCATAATGATATCTGCCAAGAGGCAAAAGAATACATGTACATAACATGACAAATTTAACCAATTTAATTTCAATTCATGGTAAGGACAAAAAGCACAATATTAGGAAATCTTTGTGATTACACTATAAAGTCTGATATATCTTTGAGAATATTTTTGTTTTGTGTGTCATTACAATTACCACAGCCATGTACCAGGACATTTATACTAAGGTGAGTATGTACATCATGATTAAGATTCTGCTGTAGAGCGTGGCGAAGGTTATTATACCTATTACACTCATAGTGTCATAGCTTTGGTCGCATTCACAACGCGGAGATTCAATAAATGGTCTTTATAAAGGTCGTAATCTAGGTTACTTGCACCATTTCTTAGCTGACAAAGAATAATGTTTATATTGCGATTTCCAGAATATTTGAAAATATTGGTTGTTTCAGATTGAACATAATGATTTTGACTTAAAAACCTTATCTTTTATTGAATTCATTAAACATAGAAGGGAACAAAAAATTTACAGTACGACATAATGGTGGGTCAAATAGTCTATATGTTCTTGAAGGATAACTATTAAGATTATCACCATGATAGAAGGGTTCAATTATTTCCTTCAAGTAAAAAGGTGTTTCATTATTCATACTTTTATACATTAATGATAGCTTACGTATTTTCCTTCTGCTATTAAATGTTTCCCATCCTAACTCCTGATATTATATATCATGTGATGTCCCTCTCCGAAGTCCTGTAATTAATCTTGCTGCCTTTAACTGAACAGACTCTATAAGATTTTTTGAGCTAACGTAGACATTTTCTACAGGATAAAAAGGAACGAATTCAAATTCTTACTATCTGCCAAAACTGATAGATTACTATTAATCGTTAAATAATACTAACTATCCACCTATACAGATTACTTAATGTTAGCCTATAAATAATACTAACTATCTGCCTATACTGATTACTTACTTTTAGCCTATAAATAATACTAACTATCCGCCTAAACTGATTACTTACTGTTAGCCTATAAATAATTCTTACTATCCGCCGAAACTGATTACTTACTTTTAGCCTATAAATAATACTTACTATCTGCCTAAACTGATTACTTACTTTTAGCCTATAAATAATACTTACTATCCACCTATACTGATTATTTACTGTAGCCTATAAAAAATACTTACTATCTGCCTATACTGATTACTTACTTTTAGCCTATACATAATACTACCTATCCGTCTAAACTGATTACTTACTTTTAACCTATAAATAATACTAACTATCCGCCTATACTGATTACTTACTGTAAGCCTATAAATAATACTAACTATCCACCTAAACTGATTACTTACTGTTAGCCTATAAATACTTACTGTCGGCACAGTTTTGTCCCGTCCACCTGCCAACACAGTCACATGTATATGACCCAGGATTGTTCTTACATGATCCGCCATTCTTACAAGGTGACATCGCACATTCATTCACGTCTGAAATATTCATCATATTTAGCATTAAGTTTTTTTGCATAACAAAATTGTCCTGACACAGAGCAAAATAAGAATATTATTGTTATTGAAAATTGACAAAATCAATTTTCTACTTTTCCCACCCCCTACTAAAACAGCGATAAAAGTGCATTAGCATAAGCATCAACTTATCATACTGTACATGAATATAGTACAAACATAAAGCACAACTAATTATGTATTAAATACCCATGATTTGTAAGATATACTAGGTGTTTCTACGTTACGAAATATCAGGTTAATATTATCCTTTTAACGTCACTTCAATTGTAACGCCACAATGCTCTTTGCCAAATTCAGTTCATTTTTTTTGACGATTTACTTACGCTCCAAATATTTTAAAGGTGGAATTCTGGTGATAACTTATCAAACCAGCTTTTCCCGACGCTATTCCTGAAAGCGGACAGACTTTGATACAACACGGCAAAGTGATGCAACCTATATTTCCTCATAGGCATTGATTTCTCTATTTACCGAGCTGTACACATATTTCAAGATGTTGGTCACAATAACATATTTTTGTACCCTGCTCTCCGAAAACAAAGACATACTTGCATATCAAATCTGGTTCCTACGAGTGAAACAGTATAGAAGATATGCTCAGGACAAACTTTGAGGTTGAGGTCAAAGGTAAAAGCATAAGTCACAGTGACCTACTTCTTGTACTCTGCACTCCGACATCCAAAGATGTTCTTGAATACCAAAGATGTTTACACCAGGTGAACAAGTATAGAATATGTGACCCTGGACAAGTACCCGGACGGACGGCGGGCATACATATCGATTTGTTAGCATGTGTCTTGGAAATAGAACAAAGCGTTAAGTTAATTAGCATACCTGTCTCACAGCGTGTTCCTGTGTATCCGCCAGGACATTGACAAAAGAAGCCGCCGAGCTCAAGTACACGGCAGAAACCACTGTTCTCGCATGGCTGGTCATTACACGTCACAGGTGCTGATGACAGAGAAAATAATAAGGAAAATCATTTAATGCCTAAACCCTACGTTTCTCAAGAACTTATCGCACGCATTTATTTGCGATGAATTTAAAATTTTAAATGCACTAAAAATAACAAGTGTAGCACGGATTGAGTACAAATGAGCATCAAAATGTACTTCAAATATCAAGTAAGTGTACTACAAATAATAACTACTTCGAAAACAATGCTATCAAACATGTACCACAAGTATTTACTCAAGTGTAGTAAAAAATATTAATACCACTATTCTACAAATATTACCTCGAGTGAACTACAAGTATTGTTTCCAGTGCACTATGCAATAAATATGAATCAAGTTTACTACAAAATATAACTCAAGTTCTCTACGAATAGTTATTGAAGTTTACTTCAAATAATTACTTAAATTTACAGCAACTTATTCAAAATCACTACAAAATATTTGTCTATGGGGGTGTCACGCGATCGACGCGGTCTTATATTTCACTACTTAAAAAAACCTTGTGCCAGGCCCCCTGGATCTTCTACAAACAGCAATTCATATCTTGTGCAACTTTTATCAAAAAAAGATGAAATGAACAAAACAATTAAAATCAACAAATGTATTTTGCGAGTAAAAAGTTGATTCTGAAAAAAACATATCTTGTGTAACTTTTGATAACAATAATAAGACCAAATGAACAAAAATCAATAACTGTGTTTTGCGAGTCAAAAGGCGACTGGGACCGACCAGGATCTCAACTCTAGATCTTCAGTCATAAATAGTCGCTCTTATCAACTGGAGCAACGCTACAGATCAGCGGTACTTGCCTGACCCAGTCGCACAAGTGAAATAATGGGAGATTACTGTATTAGTGAAAAGCTACCATTGAATTATCTAGTGTTTTAACTGCAATGGGATAAGGACCCTTGACCATCACAGGTACTTGTTGGATGTTTCTTTGCTTTAAGTGTGTATTCGGTTATCTCATGCAAGGCTACCTTTCGAAGTAGTAGGGGTAGACGTTTGAGACTGGGTTGTTGCTGTTGTTATTGTTGTTGGTTTCTTCGTCGTCGTCGGCGGCGGCGTCGTCGTCGTCGGCGGCAGCGGCGTCGTCGTCGTCGTCGGCGGCGGCGGCTTCGTTGTTGGGATTGTAGTTGCTGTTGTAGGTGTTGTTGGCGGTTTCGGGGTTTGTGTTGTTGTTGGCAGTTTCGGGGTTTGTGTTGTTGTTGGCGGTTTCGGGGTTTGTGTTGTTGTTGGCGGAGTTGGGGTTGGTGTTGGTGGTGCCGGTGTTGGTGTTGGGGGTGCCGGTGTTGTTGTTGTTGTTGTTGTAGTTGTTGTGGATAAAGATTGTACTGTGGACAGTGTTGTGGTTACCACAGTGAAGTTGATTTTAGAAAGTGTTATAACAGACGGACTTAAAATCAGGGTCAGGTCCCCAACGTAAGCTAGGTCGAGGCCATTCACAGTCGTGCCTGGGGCGATATTCGCGAGAACCCAAGTGATGTTATTCGTGATGTAACTTCCTCTGGGGAGTGCAAACGTCAGGTAAAAATCAATTTCAAGCGGGTATTGCCTGAAATAACAATATATTGATGCCGGTAAAAATGGGAATCTCAACAATCATGTTTACATAAAGCAAAACGATGTCAAAACGAATCTATAGCAAATATAACTCTGAGCAAATATGGCCGACGTAAAACCTTCAAAGCCTTTCAATGGTTATTACAATTGATGGGACTATGAAAGTATTTTACAATTAATTGAATTTAGACTGAAATACATACCTGAATGTCAATATACCACACTCGTCATGATTCTCAGATATGATGGAAAATTCCAAAAACTTTTTCAACTACAACACAAAGGTACAAAATCACACAATAAACATTTGCACCTTGGTCGCATTAAAACTAGACAATAATATCGTATTTTCAGCTTTGATATGAGGTCTGATATTGTAAGCAATCTGATTGCCATTTCAACTCACAATTCGATAGCATCAACATAAAATGTCTAGCATGAACTGCTATGTCACAGAACGAGTTGACTTTTTTTATGAGGAAGTGTTAGACTAAGCTTTGATGTTTACTTTTTTAAGGTTCACTATCATAAATACTTAGCAATTCAACATTCCAATAATGGGTCGTTGTTGCGCCAAGCTGAGTCGTTGTAAAATTACCATATTAGTGATGCATTGAGAATTTTATGAAAACTTCGGCCTTTTACATACATGTGTCAAAGCATGAAAACTGTCAGGTTTATTGGATTTTTTTTAAACAAACCAGGCGTCGCATAACAAACATTATTTTGATATTATTGATATCAATGTTGTTAGAAAATGAAGTTAATTAAACGTATTCTTCGTATTTTTTGTTAAATATCAACTAGAGCAATTCTGTAGTTGATGTTGGTAAAGCTTCTCTACCAAATGGTTATCAAATATATAGCAAATCAGCATCCAATTGGCATTCTTAGTTGCTTACGGGGCGTTTGTTTGTGTCTTCAATAGTTCAGTACAAGTGTTCTAATGCAAATTAAAGAAAAAACTATTTTACCAGGATATGTTATTCCTTCTTCTCACCTTATCCTATTTTTCAACAGTTGACATATTTTTTGTAAATCATACCTACCTATTACCTTTATCATAATTTATTTACAACCTACATTTTCACAGAAGCTCATCTGGAGTCCTTCAAACCTTGGTGATCTCACTTCCTGTAGATCAGTCGTGTAGTTGAAGGAATACAGTCCATATCTTGCGTGAACGTAAGTGCCCTCTGAGAAAAATAGAAAGGAAAGAACTCATCGACTATTTAGTTAAGCGTGAACTGTTGGTATCTGCTGCGGGTTCCTTGCAATTATTACCAAGACCCCTGTCGTCATAACCACATCCCAACACAGGTTTCCAAAAAATAACTTCAGCAATAAAATATATCAGAGACAAACGAAGTCATTTTTTAAGCAAATGAGTCGCTGTATAAGGCCGATGTCATATTGTAACGTGTCTTGAATGAAAAGAAATGCATACTACTCTGATATAACAGTGCAGTATTTAATTCGAAACACAATTGGAAACACAACCTGAACTGACGAGGTTCTAATGTATTGTTATTTTAATTAGAGACATATAGACATCATAAAATGTCTCTATATTTTTACGAAGCAACAAGGTCAGAAACTACACGGATTGCATTGAGTTCATTGTTAAGGCGATCGATGTCATTAGAAGAGCTCCGAAGTACAAGTGACGGTGTTAATTAGTCGTTATTGATGAATGATGTTATTAAAATTAGCAAGTTATCACATGATAAACTCCATTTTTCCAGAAGGTCAATTTCAAAACGGTTTGATAACTTGCATTATATTTTTTTTTTCATATTATTGTTCTTACTCTCAGCTTTATAAAATATTTAGAAAATTTATCAATTAATCTTAGAAAATATAAAGAACAAACCGACGACCCCTGGTTCAAGTGGGCTGGGGGTGATCACGCTGTAGCCTGTTATGTCGATGAGGAAGTCGCCCACGAACAGAAGACGATAGCCATGCACGTATTTAGCACGTGTTTGATCCAAAATGGACGACATAATTTCATCCTCAGTCAGGGTATTCACAAATAACAGGTCAAAGGTCAACAGCACGACCGGCTTCAATGTATCCCTGGTAACACATCACAATAAAGAGTGTGTAATACATTTTAAATAATTTCAATAAAAGTCTGAAAAAAAAACATAAGTTCTTATCAATAACCTTGAAACTTAAATAGGAGTTTGTTAAAATATTTGTAAATGTGATTCTAACAAATCTGATAGCTTTTTCATTTGAGCTAGCTACAATTCGAATATCGTAACTGTAGACAGTGTTGTTAGACTATTACTTTGGAATTAAATGCATCCGTAAGGGAAGAGAAAGACTAGAATAAGATAGTAATATGGCCCTTGTATTTCAGATCTCTTACAGTAAAGGAGGAGGAAAGCAAACTACGTCATCAACTTACCCCAGTATTCCTGAGCATTGACAATCGGCCGTGTTGTACTGCCTAAAATAGACACAAATAAATAATAAATTTACAGATCATCTTTTTTAAAGGATTATTGATAAATACAAAAAAAAAATCCAGAGAAAAACGTTCTATAAACTTTTTCCTTGCAAAACTAGAAAAAAAATAAAATGTTTATTTTTACATCTTTTAAAAGGATAACTGATTTATAAAAAATTTCAATTGCAAAATTAAAACAGGGATTATCTTGATTGTTTAAATGATCTATTTTAATCTTATCATTTTAAACATATCAAAACTGTAATTTAACCCGCTGTGTATCTTTTTATTTCTTAATCTCGATATTGCATTTTTATAAAAAGAGTCTACTCGACATACGTCAAATTCTTCACAGTACATCCCTTGTATTGGCTGGAATACGGTCCCTCTTCAAAGTAGCCGTCTATCTGGAAACAGTAACCATTGTTCAAAACATAAAACGCATGCTGACCAAACAAAAGAGATGAAATACGTAAGCTATCAGCTTATTTCATGCCCCGAAGCAGAACACATAGAACGTTTAATGACTACGGATGCCTAGGAAAACACCACCGGAAAGAAAACAATAGAAAAGTGAAAAAAGTCAAAGAATTTATCTCAAGTGTTGCAGTGGGGGCAGCCGATCAGTTTTCGTCCGTGTCCCCTAGGTAGCGACAAATAACGTGACATGAAGGCAGATTTCTTGGAAGACACCACCTTAAAAAAAGTGTGTAGGAAGAGAGAAATGGCCTGCTGTATTACAATGTTAACTTCAAAAGACTTTAATATCAAACATTAGATATACTATGATAATTAACATAAATGATACAAGACAGAGTAAAATATATATTCTTACTACGTACCTCATCACAAAAAGGAAGAGCGATATCTATGAATCTGTCGGATGTGACAATTTCCATGTCGTCGTCCCAAGTCGTATTCCACAGGGGCATGGATACATTGGCAACGTGATAATCTACGATAGATAAGGTTACAGGTGTTCGTATACAGAGGCACAGTGAATTCCGTGACACAACATTTTGCCACTTAATATTTCTAACGATAATCTCTATTTATAAAAACTGTGCTGCATGGTATCTGTAAATACACTACGACCGACAATATCGTAATAAATCTCGATAAATAACAAAATACAATTATATTTTGTATATCTATATTGTATTGTTTGCTCAATTGTATGGTTAAATTGTATTGTAATGTGTACTGTATTTTTTCGTATTTATTTGTTGGACTGTACTTTATTGCATTTATCTACCATTCATCCTGTTGTTTTTCACAACAGTTAAATATAATACGGAAATACTATACAATAAATACAACAATAAATAACAAAACAACAGGACGAATGGTACATCAATACAACAAAGATGAGTCCAACAAATAAATACGAAACAATACAGTACATATGAAAATACAATATAACTTAATCTTGCTTGTAACAAGCATTTCCATTGGCTTAAAAAACTATGTTATCAGCCCATAACGTAAAATGATGTCGCCGTTTGTAACGTCGCTTTTGATTGGCTGATAGAGCAGCACAATAATTTCTAAGAGAAAAGAGACCATCAATAATTTCCACAGGGATTGTGTATTGTAGATTAAATTATAAGGATTAACTTGAATATATTTTTCATGTTATGAAGATATAACACAAAATACGGAGTGTACTCTAAATAAAACGCGAAGCGGTTTATGATGAGAGTACACTCCGGTTTTTGTGTTATAGCTCCATAACATGAAAAATATATTCAAGTTAATCCTTAATTAACAATAAAATAGAACAATACAATAAAGACATAAAAAAATATTCGATATAATATCAGAAATCAAACAAAAGACAATATATCTCAATTCAACAATCAGCAGAAAATAGACATAGGTTACAGTAAAATCAATAATTCAACAATATAGTACAGCAAAAACACATTACACAATAGGTTACAGTACAAATCAATAATTCAACAATATAGTACAGCAAAAAAAATATTACACAATAGGTTACAGTACAAATCAATAATTCAACAATATAGTACAGCAAAAATACATTACACAATACAAAACTGTAATTCAACAATATAGTACAGCAAAATTACATTACACAATAGGTTACAGTTCAAAACAGTAATTCAACAATAAAGAACAGCAAAAATACATTACACAATACAAAACAGTAATTCAACAATATAGTACAGCAAAATTACATTACACAATACAAAACTGTAATTCAACAATATAGTACAGCAAAAATGCATTACACAATAGGTTACAGTTCAAATCAATAATTCAACAATATAGTACAGCAAAAATACATTGCACAATACAAAACATAACTTCGACATGTACAAAGTTTATGACACCTACGAACGAATGATAATATTACTTTAAGTTAAATCCATATAGAATATTCCTGAATTACAAATGTCATTGAACATTGATTGTCATGCACTAAACTCAATCCAATAAAGATTACAATACGCTTGTGTTTTCATTCCTTCATTGTGTTGTACTTTCTATTTAAAAATAAGTCGTTTATTTGAACCCAAAAGGAGCTAGTGCAGCAACTGCGTCTCTTCAAATCTCAATATGCATGGTATGATCGCTAACCAAACCGTTTTGAGAGATTGCATCATGTTCTGTTAATTCCTATTTAAAGATTTAACAAAACTTACTCACCGTACGTTGCCTTTTTATTACCTGTAAATCAGAAATAGGTGAACAGATTAGCAACGAGTCACAGATTAGAACTTGTCACAGATTAGACCGAGTCACAGATTAGACTCGGACCGAGTCACAGATTAGACCGAGTCACAGATTAGAACGAGTCACAGATAACAAGCTATTGTTTCAGTGACCAACGTCGGATTATTATAACAGAGCTCAAACAAACTGCTAGCAATTATTTAGAGAGTGTAAACAAAAGTGATACGACTACTTATAGGACTTAAACAAACGAAAGGCTATTTTATAAAACTAATAAATAAACGTATAGTTATCCAAAGGGCCTACTTAAACACAAATTAATCAAGAATTGCTATATAGGTATAATAAACAAAATGCTTATTCAAGCTGAGAAAAATCATAAGTGTCCTTCGATGATAACAAAATAACCAAATCTAGGTAAATATATTATCTTTCACGTTTGCTGCTGTTTTCGAAAAAAAACACCATCAGATTGTCAGACACCTGATAGGGAATGATTTCAGCTGTGTAAGGGGATGATAACGATATAGGATAACATCACCGAGATAGGATATCACCTGTGTAAGGGATGATTTCAATTCGATATAACATCACCTGGGTGGGGAATATATTTTAATGTGTATTTTTTGTGGTGTTCGTGATGTTTCTCCTTTTGTTTTTATGTATCCCATGTCTTGTTGCTGACTATTTATATAAACAAAGAGTTCTGATGACGTCATGTGGACACTATGGTATGTATCATGTTTTGTTATAAGGATCCCTGTGGCACTTTAAACTTTAAATATGCATTCGAAACTCTTTTCCGGCATGACTAAAATGTGTTTAATCATCATCGAAAGTAACCTTGGTCAGTTGTGCTGCAGATATATCTAAAGCAGAATAAAAAGAGGTCAAGCTGTGTATAAAAAAACTACAGTGTAATTATCTAGTGTTTCGCCTACAGTAGTACTGGGATCTTTACTTAAAAATGCAAAAAAAATACACCTTTAAGCTACGTGATTTAGATAACGTGCAAACACAACAAATTCCATTTGCATGATGTACATTCATTTAAAGATATTGTAAGTCCCACCTTACTATCAACTGTATCTTCAATTTCCGTATCACCGTTTGCTAAAATTAACGACTGGGAGTAAATGATATTGTGATTGCAGATCTTACCGTTCATGACAACGAAGAAGACGATGATGGCAACACAGAAGGAAATGAAGAACGCAGCAAGTAGCAAAATGAAGGTCACGGCCCTGCGTCTGTCTCGGCGAACGTCCTTGTAATGGAGAAATTTAAGGCTGCGCGCTCCGTAAATAACGGCCCCGGGATGGGTACTGTAGTATCCCGTTGGGAAATTTCCCTGTAAGATATTACATAAAAATGAGTTGAGTAAGACTGACATATTGAGATGTCTTGGTGATTTTGCTCATTATCATTATCTTTATAGAAACAGGCATGTAAAAAGGAGGGTTCTAAAAGGGTAGATTAAATATAGATATACTGGAACATATTTTTCCGTCGTTTGAAAGTCGTGCTGTCTGAACTTCGTTGGTCAAGCTCCGCCCATCTTCAACTGTTGTAACATTTAGATAGACTGCGTCTGGCTTGTAAATATAACGAGTTTTCTCTCCCTCTATATTGTCCAGGTATGTTATACCATCCAAACCAAAACTGGGGGGTCAATCTGATTAAAACAGGTGTTCATTTATAATCTGAGGCATTAACAATAAATGAACACCTCCACTTAATAAATTTATCGGGATTCAGCTAACACTGGTCCTGCAACGAGTTAACTTATTGTTTGGAAAATATTTAATTAAAAACGTACATTATTTTGTCGAACAATCATATTGCTCGTCACAAACCGCTCATTGAAACTCCCTGAACTGCCAAAGGGTAAGAATTTGATGGAACTAAAAAATTGCGGCTAACCTGTTTGTACGTGTTGTTTATGCAAATACCAGACGGCAGTGCTGTCTGTTTTGTTTGAGAAATGGATATTAATGTTGGTGGGAGACAGGTCCTGCGGATGTGGACACCGATACGCTCTAGTGATTAAATATTGTTAAACGCTTCAATGAACAGGCCATTTGTTTTTATTTATCTCTGATTCGTTATCTATAGTTTGTCAACTAACCGTAGTATTAAAACAAAGGAACAGTAATATCATGCGTTTATTTTACAAGTTGTATATAGTATTTACGTGAATCGAAAATACATACAGTTTAGAATATTGAGTCATTTGTACGGACATGAAAAGCAAAGATAGAAATCATTTTCCCTGATATTGACCCAATAAAGTAGGCATTTTAAGTACTTATGTAAGTCCATACGGTAGTCAGGTGTTCGGTTCTATTTCATTTATAAAATGTAGCGCTACAAAACGCATGAAATACCGACAGTTATTTTAATTATCATTACATAATGTATAAATAATACGAAGGATATTAAGATAAAATGATACACTTCATATGGAATGAAGCTTCAGTACTAAATGTGATGTTCTTTTGTATATTTAAAAAAAAATGACAGACAAGATTGATGCATAATGCGATATAAATAAACCGAAAAAAACTTTTTAGTTGTCCTTTATTTTCTCAGATTTGGTAACACTATTTCTCGTTATCATTTTTTCGCAGATGTCAGGTTTAGTGGCAATGGCACACAGTGCTACGGGATAGATGGATGAAGTTCCTATTATTTAACGGTATTTTTTTTTTCTCGGAAAAGAATCATAACCACCAAAATCGTACAATTGAGAACCCCGCGAAAAAAGACCTTCACATTAATTTTGTGATTACAAAATCTGCAACCAAACCGGATAACTTATGACAACAAGTATATTTTTGATGAAGAAATTTGATGGACATGGGGTGTGAGCGTGTCTCATTTAAGCATTGAACTGTTTTTGTATGGTATTTATGATCTATTTGAATGACACAGCTTTGCAAGCAAACAACATAATGCGCTAGTTCAATACTTATATTTACGTTTTCTCTGCCTCTTATGATCTTTTTTAACTTATAATTTATAATTAAAATTAAAAATGCCCGNTTTTTTTGAAAGCTACCTATGTCACATGAACTTATAGTCTCGATAACAACATATATTTATAGACTTTAATCTGTAGAAACAACTCTTCTTCAATTGGTCAGAAAACGACATACACCGGTTACTGAACGGGTCAAGGGTCAAGAAAAAAATATATAATATCGCCAACAAGTCATGGCAAACCTTGGTGACTACAAATTCTATCAGCAGAGTCTACCACTTTGAATCTTGATGCTATAGGGGTCAAATAAGTCGAAATCCAAATTGGTCTAACATACAATTGAAACAGAAGGGGAGGTACGTAAAACCACCTAATTACACGAATTTCAGAAAAACAAAGGAGTACTGGCTACTTTCAAATAAAAAATAAAAAACGTGTTTATTATAATCCGTGCTACTACTAAAAAAATCAAATATGAACATCGAGGTTATGGGCAGAGCAAGTGGAGCAAATACACCAACTGGTATCTTGAAAGATGAACGTTAGACACGGACATGTGCGAGTGCAGATAAGATTTGGTAAAGATACAGAATGTAAAAAAAAATCAATTTCACCATACAGCTATTTCGTCCTTCTAGTACTCGTTGGTGACGTTTGGGGCTAAAAAAATCGATATTGCCAAATAGGTATTATCTTATGTTTAAACAGAAAGGGTGGAGGGTACGTTAAGAACATATCTTTTCTGATTTTTTTCATATCTGTTGGATTGATAGTCTTGTTGACAGTAAATACATTGTACATCATGTGGTAGTGGTTTTTTTTTATTAAATCTACACACAACTCAGTTAAATTGTCGTTTGACCTATTTACAAAAATAGTACTGTGTGAAAAGTTAAACAAGAACTGTTCCCGTTCTTCGGCGGGCATACCTTCTTCTGATGTCTGTGTGGCCGTGTTGTTTTTATGATCACTCTCAAAATAAAAAAATAAATACACAATTATGGACGAAGGAAAATCTCTCGAATCCTTGTTCAAAAGCGATAGTATAGAGGAGTATATGTGGAAAGAGAGAGTATCATTAGACGGTGATTTACACAGATTTGTACTTATCCCCGATAGTTTCACTCCACATATATTTTGGAAACTTGTAATATAAATGTACTTGTAAAGGAGTCATTAAAAGTAAATAAACAACTCCACGAAAATGGGATATATACATGGTTTACATATGTTTCCCAATATATTAAGGAATAATAGTATCAACTATGACTTTCATCACGACCCATTCTTTGCAAAAAAAAGAAAAAGAAAATGAAACTATTGTTTAAAAAGTCGATACATGCTAAATTTGAATCTTACTTTTTTGAATAAAATGCATAGTTTGGACGAAAATAGTAAGTTATTTCTATACAGTAAAATAAAATAAAAAGTATGCAGAGGAACACTACCTATCGTTACCCAACTTTGAATATAGAAAATTGATGGCAAAGCTGAGACTAAGCAACCACAATTTAGAAATTGAGGCTGGTAGATCTAAAAAGATTCCTCGACAATCCCGACTATGTAAATTCTGCAATACTGTTGAAGATGAAGTACATTTTATATTTAAATGCAAAATAAATGTATATATCAGGACTACGTTTCTCCAAAAAATTCAAATTAACCCATCATTGCCTGATCTACAAAATTTAATATTATTATTGTCATCTAATGATCCACAGCTTTTGGCCTCTTTATTAAAAAGTCATTTGAACTGAGGAAGGCAGGCTTGCAGAATGCGTAAGTATGTAGTTTTTGCTGTCCATTATATAGTATCAATGTTTGTTTGATGTGTGCAGCTCGATCCTTGTAAATTGAATCTAAAATGCAATAAAGTTGATTGATTGATTGGTTGTAATGAAATATCCCAAATGTAATGTACAACATTTAATAACGTTAATAGTAACCATCCGAAGTGATGAGACAACTGATTGTCAAAAATGTGGCGTTTTATACACAGATGTTACTAGTTATATACTACTAAATTGTTCTTATACGGAACATCTAAGAGACAAGTTTTTGTGCATCCTCGATATCCAGGGTTACGCTCACTTTTGCTCTCTACACCCCTGGAATATGTCATAGAAAAATTGAAGGTGCGAAGATAGCTGTTGGATTGGTCTCAGGTAAAAAAAAAACTGACCAATCGCAAGGCTGATACCTGTCCTTTGAAGATTACAAAGGAGAGACGCACGACTTCAAAGCCTGTAAATGTTTACCGCTAAGTGACCGCGATATTCTTTAGATGTACATCAAAGGATCGAACTAGTCTTCATGTCTAATCAACAAGGTGGCGCACACTGAGCCTTCAATTTTGCTATGACATATTCCAGGGGTGTAGAGAGCAAAAGAGAGCGTAACCCCTGGATATCGAGGATGCCCCCGGATATCGAGGATGGTTTTTGTGTAGTATTGCTAATGTATGCAATATTATGTTTCGCGTCTACCTCCACGGTCAATTTGACTATCAATTAGTTCATACATAATGTGGTGGAGAAATAGTATTTGATATAAGTAAACAAGATTTGGAAGAATTCATGTTATTATCCCTTTCATCTACAAAATGCTTATACTATCCTATAACTCTTAACATGTATTTCGAAACGACACATTTTTTCTATCTACATGTATATATCGATAATATGCTATTTCCCTGTACAAACTTTTCCCCAATGGTTTTTGTAGTTTTTACAACACTCGGTTGTTGTTCTGCCATGTAGTTAACACCTGTGTACATATTTAGCTGATGCTGTGTACATTTTCTTGCATATCATTCAGGTGTTCCTAAAATCTTATTCTCTTTTGTACAATATTATTTACAATTGTATGTATATATGCATCTTCAATATTGAAGGAATAAAAGAGAATAATAATAAAATAAAACATGCACCACTGCAGATGAAGGAAAACATTTTAGATAGATCCGTCCAGCAATGATGGATAACAAGAATTGTATAACGAAGGACAGACGGACGGACGGACGGACGGACGATTTGAATAGCCAATCATTTGATAGTTTGCAACGGTGCACCTAAATATCAGGAAAGTTACAAAATAAATGAACATATGAAAAACATGCTAATAAACAGATGGGAATTAGACACTCTAATGAAGAATATTCTACCAAAAATATATTCGCCACAACTAACTTATCCGGAATATTAAACAAAATAATACTCCATTTTCACGCATTCAGGCATATCCCTGTTCGCAGGCAATGGACAATATCAACATTTATGTTTTCGCGATTTAACAACTTTCACAAATTCAGCATTAAACGTTTTTGCAGCTAGTGTCTTTCGCGTTTTCGACGGCACAATTAACGGATTGATTAATTGAACATTAATGTATTCTTCAGCTACAGCATTACGAAATTCAATTTTACGAAATTATTAAAAAATACTTTACTCGTAACAAAGGGACATGAGACCAACCATCACTTTCACGACAATTACTTATTTACAACCCCGGACGTTTGTTGTTTACAGTGTTTCTTTGTTATATCCCGAAGCCAAACATTCCGATTTTCATTACAAGTTTATTCAAATTCTGTTTGCTTTCGGCAATGCTCACATGCAAAATATGATATGTTTTAGATTTGACAAACACATGTTATGTCAACTTCGTTTATTATTTCCTATGCTCAAGATAATCCGAAAAGAATTTTTAAAACATTTCTGGAATAAATTATGAAAAAAACCCACCTGATAACAATCTAATGTATATATATATATACTTACGAAGTCCGGATGTGAGGTAGACATCCTCGACTTTATAGTATTCCCGAACATCGAATCCATCCAGATATCCTCTTTATTCTTCATTATCTCTGTAGTAATACTCACCTGGACACAACTCCTTATTTGTGATGATTATCAAGTCAGACTTGAGATAATTTGACGAAATGCGAAAATTTCCCTTACTCATTCAGATGAGCACAGCTAAGTTAAAACACAAAACCTACAATTTACCCATGAAATCTGCTTCATCAACGTTAAGATTCCAATTGTTCCTAATCAACTTTTTCTTCGTCACGTTTTAGAATTACTCAGTTTTAGCTCCTTTACGACATTTACGAACAGCCTATGACATTAATTCACAAAGAGAAATTATTTACATCCCCATTGTTGATATATCTTCACTGCGAAATACACATTTGACTAGGTTATTAGGATTCCCCTCATATGATTACGATGGCCGCCTTATTCAACAGTAAGACGCGCCCGTTTGCCCAAGGAGACATCCGTGTCCTCGCCCAACCTTTGGGACAATTCGATATCCAGGCCACCACACGAAATATTTACAAATTATCTCTACGATTCCGTCACGTTGTCGTGTTGTCTTACCGGAAGGAATGTACGGTTAGTTAGTGTTTTATTGTTTTGATGTATCAATATTATGTAAATATTCCATTGGTTAATGGCTTTAGAGAGAGGTTTTGGGAGCCCGCGGCAGGCGATGGGTGGCTGTGAACGGTGTTATCTCGAGAAGGTATACTCATCTACATAGCTTTGATACTTTGTACATTTAACAGACATGCGTCATTCTTTGTATTCGTTTTGTTATTTCAAGACGTGAGACAATACAATGGTTTGATATTTAAAGTCAAACTAAATAATTCAAAAGGGAAAGCATTGCTTCGTCATATTAAATCCCGAGATGGAGGAGAGGTGGTCTAACAAAATGACATTTCCACAAGTTTATTAATGTATAAAATAACTGTTCTTGAATTTGGAAATGGGATATTGGATCCTTCAACACATCTTCCTCCTGGAAAAACATAAATGCTTACTTTTCCTGCACCGGATGTGGCACTCGCTATTCTTTTTCCTGTCAGGTCAAGGAAATTAATTTGGCCACCAACTCTGTAAACATATGAATATAATAAAGGTAACATTCCTATAGCGATTTTATATGAACCATCACACCATACGTTATCTACATGTGTATGAGTTTAACGTCCTCTCAATATATACAGACTGTATGGTCATATGATGACGGAAGCCTCAGAAAAAGAGCAAATACCGTTAGTGTTGAAATTACGCAGCATATCAGTTTTGGTTTCTTCAGTAACCCCTTACAATGAGGAATACCGACGATTCTGTAGGGAGCTCGACATTTGTCGCCACTTACAGCATGCAGTGGGATACAACGGGTCTGTTCTTTACTCCGAACCTGCAGTGGGGATCTAAAAGGCGAAGAAACTTCACATAACAATAAGTAACAAAATAGACAACCTACTCCCACAGACAATAGCTGTGATATAAGAGATCAACATACTCCCACAGACAATCCACAGACAATAGCTGTGATATAAGAGATCAACATACTACAACAGACAATCCACAGACAATAGCTGTGATATGAGAGATCAACATACTCCCACAGACTCCCACAGACAATAGCTGTGATATGAGAGATCAACATACTCCCACAGACAATAGCTGTGAAATGAGAGATCAACAGACTCCCACAGACAATAGCTGTGATATAAGAGATCAACAGACTCCCACAGACAATAGCTGTGATATGAGAGATCAACATACTCCCACAGACAATCCACAGACAATAGCTGTGATTACACCTTAAAACATGGTAATAAATACCTTATGCCAAAAATGTGGAAATCCAAATAGTCTTAAACACTGTTGAAACAGAGGGCAGGTGCGTAAAACTGCAATATATTTTTTAATTCATAATTAAGGGGTCTTCTATTCTGCCGTTGAGACATAATGTTTATATATGTACATGGTGATTTTGATATCGGTGGCGGACTTTTTCTGGACCTAACAGGAAATATACCGTTAGGAGCCACATGTGGTGAAAGAAACGTAAAAGATTTTAGAAGCACGTGGCTTTACCTATGTTTTCTTAAGTCGTTCAATTTTTTTTGGTAGTAGCTAATTATCGGTTCCTTTTTTGTTGTGTTATGGTATTGAATTTACTCCAGATGTGTTTTCGATGATATTATTTCGATAAATGCTTGTAAATAAACGAACGGTCAATTTGTTAACAGACACACCCCTACAGGTTGGGGATCAGGAAAAGAATACACGTGTTGTTACCTCCTGCATATATCGTAGGAGGCGACTAATGTTTGAACCCCCTGCAGAATTGGGGATTTGCCTTCATGTCCTCTATTTGGAGACATAAAAGCGACCAAAATTAATCTGCTGCATTATTGCAATATTTGGGATCTTTGTCTTTCTTTCTACTTGTGTCTGCTTTTTTATTCCCTGGCGCCGTGCTGTTGAGCGTTCGCTTAGGTGAGGAAGGCATTGGGTTCTGTCCCCAGGCCGGGACATACCTGAGTCCTTAAAATGGTAGTTGTTATTCCCTGCTTAACGTTCAGAATTAAGGGGAACGGCAACAACTGGTTCAACCGTTGTCAGTATAATGTGACCGGGTGGAATGCTGTGGTGGGGGCCTTCGGCATGACATTTCAGTGAGAAAGCACTATAAAGTCGGCATCAGATCCGCGCTATCACAAGGAGGCAAGCACACCAACATACCCTGTCTCCTGCATACACACACGCAAGCACGTATGAACTACACACATGGAAACACGTCCTTAAATGACCTTAGCTGTTTATAGGACGTTAAACAAAATTAAACCAAACCAGACTTCAGTATGCGAGCAAAGGACAAATAAGAACGTTTTAGAATAGTTCTTAACTTGTGTGGGTTACTGTCCCACTACAGGCAAAACATGGGGAAAAAATCCCTTGTAGTTCTTTGTACATACGGTAACCTCGCCTTCATTTCGTCAGGGTGCTACTGTTGATCAAGTAGTTCAGTAGATTAGAGCGACAGTACAATGACCTGTGGAACAAGGTTGGACACCTGGTCGGAGGTTGGACACCTGGTCGGATTGGACACCTGGTCGGAGGTCTTTGAATTGGAACACTCGGAACACTTTTTCCCGTAAAAGTTTAGCAGTTTGTTTCCCCATTTATCAAAGCTATGGTGGTGCTGACAAAAAGTTTCCGGTGCATATTTACATGTTGACAGTAGTGCAGGGTTCCTTTCAGTATTTAACCGTGTATTCTGTAGTTGTTTTTGTTTTCTCTGTCTTGAATCAGTACACGTCATTGTTACATTATTAGGATGTTCCTTCTGAAGAAATTGAATGGATGTATAGAATCAACTCATTCACCCCTGAAATTTCATAATGAACTATTCCAACCTTTGAATTGGAAGAGTTGAAATGTGTCTTCAGGAGTGAATGAGTTAATTTATTTGAAAGCCAAAGATAAATGTGACATGGTAAAAAATGTTCTTATTTTTCACAGTCAAATAACTGAATAGATATCGACTAAATCTCTCCCACATTCAACATACTTAGCAAACAAGCAATGGAGTGAAAAAGTTTCTTTCTTTATATTACTAACGCAAGTTTTCATCAAGAAAAGTATAAAACGACTTAGTACTAAGAACTAAATTCAGTGCAACTAGATTTCAGTAGAACTATCAAATCTTTAGTACCAACATTAACTTATCAAAAATCAAAAATTGGAAAAATAAGTTAGCATTTCGGAGTACGTGTTGTCATGTTAGAAAATGTCTGCAATACTTAATAAACATTTCAAAAAGGGGTTGTCTGCGCTTCCACCATACACTTTTCGATTTGTAAAAGCATACCCTCACTTACGTGAGAGTAAAAGTGATAAACGTATCATGTTATCATGCCAGTAAAGTTTCTTTAAATCAATTAAAACAAAAGGATATGATAAATCGCGTTATTACATTCGTATATTGAACTGCTTGAAAACCATTTCCTTGACTGTTACCTTTCGTTTCCGTTGTAGGAGGCTTTTGGTTATTTTCCTGGTAAGTGTTTGTTTTTCTAGTAGGTTGACGGTGATTTGCCTGGTAGATCTTGTGTTGTTCATCTGGTATGTTGTGTTTTATTTATCAGGTTAAGTTATTTGCTGTTTTCATGGTACGGGGGCCGCGGTGGCCAAGTAGTAAGGCGTCGGACATTCTGCTACCACTAGCCCTCCACCACTGCGCCGCGGGTTTCGAGACCTACTTGGGGCAGTTGCCAGGTATTGGCCGTAGGTCGGTTGGATTTTCCCGGGAACCCCGACACGTTTTTAAATGACCATAGCTGTTATTAGGACGTAAACCACAAACAAACTAAATGTGTTCCTGGTACAAGGATGACAGCTCCATGATGCGTTATACGTCAGGTACGTTGTCGGTTGCTTCCCTAGTATTTTGTATTTTGATTTCCTGGTAGGTTGTCAGTTATTTTATTTTCCTGTTAGGATTTCAGTGGTTTGAACGGCAGATTGTTTATTATTTTGGCGAAAGGTTTTTATTTTCAGGTGGCTTGGTATTTTTTTGGTAGGTTTTCAAATCTTCCTGGTAAATTGCTATGTTCCTGGTGTATTGGTAATTCCTTGCAGGTTGTTATTTTCCGAGCAGTTTGTTATTTTCCTAGTAAGTAGATATTTTCCTCGTAGTTTATCATCATCCTGGTCGGTTTCTATTTCTTGGTAGCTTGCTGTTTTCCTGGTAAATTGCTATTTCCTGATAGTTAGTTTTTATTAGGTAGTTTATTGTTTTTCTGGTAAATTGCAATTTTTCTGGTAGGTTGTTATTTTCCTTGTAGGTTGTCATCGTCCTGTAGGTTGTTATTTTCCCGATAGGTTACCATTTTCCTGTAGTTTTTTCCAAGTTGGGTTGATATTTTCCTGGTAGTTTTACTGGTAGGTTTGTCATTTCCCTGTAGGTTGTTATTTTCCTGATAGGTTACCATTTTCCTGTAGTTTTTTCCCAGTTGGGTTGATATTTTCCTGGTTGGTTGTTATTTTCCTGGTTTGTTGGTATTTTTCTGGTTAGTTTGCTTAATATTAATAATTTGAGGTTCTTATGTAGGTCGTCTCAAAGCGGTTCACAAATTATTATTCGTGGTTTTAGGGCCTTTGCAACCAGCCAATACCGTTCTGAACTCCCTAGGAAGCATACAGCCGTTGTTGCCATTTCGGCGCTCACAGCTAGCATTCAACAATTCTAGCACTGCCCAACCACGTACTCATTTACAGCTGAGTACACCTGAACAAACAAAGTATCGTGCTGAAAGATACAACAGTGCCGTGCCGTGACTCGAACCCGCAACCCTTCGGTTACGAGACTGGCGTACGCGTCCTACAACTAGACTACCGTGCCTCCTAAAGCCTTTCTAAAGCCTCACAATTGGAAGCCTTACACTGACTTCCTCTGCATGGTAAGTCGGATCGGTAGAAAACGGCATTTCAACATTAAACAAGAGGCCCAGAGGGCCTGTACCGCTCATCTGTTTCTTTTGTTACATGAAACTGACATTTAGGTAACTTTAGACCAAATTTGGTAACTAGATCACAAGACATTTTAACATCTCTTAAAAGGTTCTTCAGATATTATTTGAAATTTTTAAGCTTTAACCCACGGTGACCTTTGACTCCGGCTAGCACTTAAAGTTGACCTTTGACCTCATAACTGTAATTTAGAAAACGTTTCACACATCTGGTCTACATAACATACCCAAGTATTATGACTGAAGTCCAAATGGTTCTTAGGATATTGTTGTTTTAAGTTTTTAACATATTTGACCCCTGTGACCTTGAAACTAGATCAAGGTCATTTTAATGAGGACACTGTATAGGACTCCATCCAAGGTACCTACTGGCCAAATATCATGACCCTTGGTCTTATGGAACTTTAGAAGAAGATTGTTAAAGCTTTTAACCCATGTTGACCTTTGACCCTCGACTAGCACTTAAATTTAACCTTTGGCCTCATTACTGTAATTCAGAAAAAGATTTTCACTGCTGGTCTTCATAACATACCCAAGTATCATGACTCTAGTCCAAATTATTCTTAGGCTATTGTTGTTTGAAATTTTTAACATATTTGACCCATGTGACCTTTAAACTAGGTCAATGTCATTTTAATGAGGAAAATTAATAGCACTCCATCCCAGGTACCTGCTGGCCAAATATCATAACCCAAACTCCTCCAGTTATTCAGAAGAAGTTGTTCAAAAGAAAAAGTTGACCGATGGATGACGGACGTCTCATCGAGCTAGGTGAGTTAAAAATACAAATATAGTAGACAAATAAATATTTCTTACTTTGTTTTTTTCAGGAAAATCATATTTAAATAAAATTAAATCATTTATACTGTTTGGTTCAGAATTCTAGGTAAATTAAATGCAATTTGTGAAAACTGCAAGCATCTTTAGAAAGTAGTAGCATTAATGTTAATGCACCTTAACGAAAATATACAGATTTAAGATGTTTTGATAAAGAAGATATTTAGAAACACAAGATTTCCTTTCACTATCAGGGGGAAAATACAGTGTAATCTGGTTAATCTTTGATTTAAGTGACTTTGAAATGTCTGGATAACTGGAACAAATGTTAAAAGGAAAATGATATCTGTCCTCGACAAAACCATATCTAGATAATGCGGATAATGTGACAGTGTGACAACAGAATTTTGTGGTGGTTGAATAGTTCAACAAATGGATAAATGGTGACTGTACAGACGAAAATTTGATTGGTGGTTGCTGAATAATATGACAACTGAACTGGTAGTAGGTAGAAAGTGTGACAACTGAATTAGGGTTGTCTTTGATAGGGGGAAAACTTGAATAGCAGTGACTGCACTGTGAGAGAAATGGGCTAGTATTGGGTTCAGTTGCATGCTAATCATTACAAAAATTTGGTTGGGTTTGTTTGTGTTTTAGGCCCTATTAACAGCTATGTAAGGACATGTCAGGCTTAAGTGGTGAAGGAAAACTAGAGAACAGAGAAAAACCCACTGAGCAGTTGCCAGTACTGCCGACTGTCACACATAAACCTCGAAAGTGTGGAGGGCTAGTGATTGTAGAGGGTCACCCACCTTAACCACTCAGCCGCCATGGTCCCCTGTACTGCCAACTGTCCCACATAAGCCTCGAAAGTGTGGAGAGCTAGTGATTGTAGAGGGTCACCCACCTTAACCACTCAGCCGCCATGGTCCACTGTACTGCCAACTGTCCCACATAAGCCTCGAAAGTGTGGGGAGCTAGTGATTGTAGAGGGTCACCCACCTTAACCACTCGGCCGCCATGGTCCCCTGTACTGCCGACTGTCCCACATAAGCCTCGAAAGTGTGGAGGGCTAGTGATTGTAGAGGGTCACCCACCTTAACCACTCAGCCGCCTTGTTCCCCTTTTCTGCCGACTGTCCGACATAAGCCTCGAAAGTGTGGAGGGTTAGTGATTGTAGAGGGTAACCCACCTTAACCACTCAGCTGCCATGGTCCCCTGTACTGCCGACTGTCCGACATAAGCCTTGAAAGTGTGGAGGGCTAGTGATTGTAGAGGGTAACCCACCTTAACCACTCAGCCGCCATGGTCCCCTGTACTACCGACTGTCCGACATAAGCCTCGAAAGCGTGGAGGGCTAGTGATTGTAGAGGGTCACCCACCTTAACCACTCAGCTGCCATGGTCCCCTGTGTTACAAGAAGCACAATGGTTTGCCCTTTGTTATGATATAATGAATGAGAGTCTGAAACAACTGACTACCTCCATTTAAATATTTTTGATGGCACCACACCAATAAAAAAAACGCTAAAAGGAGTCAGTTATTTCAGGCTTACTGAATCATAACCACTTAAGATAAAACAAATGTTTTATCAATAGTTTGTGTCTTCTGAACTTTAATTGAGATAATTCATCAAAAAGGAAATACTGCATACCGGGAAATTTTCGTATCAGTTAACTTTCACGACAGTGAAAATATCGCATAACATACCATATATAGTACTGACATGAGAAAGGAGAACAGAACACTGCGCGAAAACGTATTATACCAGTAAAGGGCGAAAACTTGACGGGTGACGGGACAAAAGTTGAAATAACACAAACAAATGTACATAGGTTTATTTCCCTGCTTTAATTTTATGTCATTTTTAAATCATTCCTCAATAAAATTTCAAAAAGGATTTTGTGAAAAACTGATTCTTTTAACCATCCCTGTCCCGCAGCACTGTGGTTCTTTCTATATGCAGCAACCTCCCCTACTCCTATAACATAAGAGGCCGCTGGTCAGCTTTTTTTCTAACGGATATGATTTTGTCGACTTTGACGCCGCCTGTCAAAAGCAAACCTCTAACACTGTTGGAGTATAACCTCTTTTGACCTTCCTTTCAGATATAACTGTAGAACAATTGAGCCCTGGACACACACTTTTGTCGACAGGTAGCTCAATCGGTTAAGCAGTCCGAAGTTCAGTGTTCAAATCCAGGTCTAGCCTTATGGTGGGGTTTTTTACACTCAGAACACTGTTGTTGGTTATATAAACAGTACAATATCTGAAGTCCAGGGTTCGAATCCCGGTCGAGACCCGCAGAAATTTTACACTCAAAACACTGTTGTTGATTATATTTCCTTTATTTCATCTTTATCAATTTGTCATAAAATTCCCAAAAGGTACGGTTTTGTTTTCTGAAATGATTGATCAAAACTATATTTGTGCCTGAAAAATCAATTTCCAATGCATAACTTCAGTTAATGTCAGTGGGTTGGTGATCCTTAAGAACAAAAACAAATAAACACACATTTTATAATTATGATTGATAAAATTCCCAATTATCAATATCCCTATCCCCCTTTAAGAACTTTAGAGAAATTACCCTGTAAACAAACTTGAACTCATTCACCCCTGAAGACACATTTGAACTCTTCCAATTCAAACGTTGGAATAATTCATTATGAAATTTCAGGAGTGAATTGGTTAGCAATAACAGCTCAAAATCATAAATAACACATGCTAACTTATTCCTTGGTTACAGTCATAGAATATTTGCTTCAATGCTATCAAGAAATCAAAGTGGATTATGATATTCAAAACAAAATAAAAGCACTTAATTATGTCATTGTATAATTTTCCCCAGTAAATCAAGATTAGAATTCTTTAATTCTTATATTTAGTTTTCACCATCAATGCAGTCTTTGGATGTGCATGGAGACCTGACATAAACTTGTGGAACGTTTACATAGACTGATGACCTGTGTAGGGCAGGCACCAACACTATTCCTAATCTTACTTCAATTTGGTATGTTTATGGTGTAAAGAAAGGGTTGTACTGATTTGATAGAGGTATTTTTGTTGCTCCACAAACTTTTAAGCAAACCACCAGACATTTAACACAGAAAACCCTCCTCCTCCTTGGAAGTCTGCCATCGACTTCACTGTCAAATTAACCTCAGTTCTTTGTTGACGCTCACCACTTTAGAGCTTTCCTTTCAATTTCGGCCGCTCGTACAGAACATCAGAAGTTTTATGCAGAATTCATCCTCCACACTTCTGTCATTTGCTGACCACAGTTTTGATGGAGAAGATCTACTCCCTAAATTTTCTCCACTTATTGATTACCAGGTATCTCCGATTCCAGATCAATTCTCGGCCATACCTTGCATACAAACTGAAAATAATACAATTTCATTTTGTTAGCACATTGTTATTAGGGGGGAACATTGTACAGCGAAACCTTAATACACTGCCGCCATTTGTCAAGAGAAATATCAGCATTATGAGGGGGCTCAGGTGATAAATTGCGAGAAACAGATAAAGGAAATCTTAAGAAAAAGAGCAACAGGGGCCTTGAAATATATTGGAAGGAAACAAGGTGGTAAAAGGAACTAGTGCCATTATATCAATGTTGTACTGTACATCACATTGGAATATCTAGGATGCATATTTTCATTTTTTTTTATTTAGCTCTGTTTTTTTATCACATACATGTGTGAGAAATACCAACCCTTGGGAAACCTAAGCAAATCGACAGAATGATGAGAATGAGGAGTTGCATTCACCCATTATCTGTACCCAGAGAAAACCAAACCTTTCATGTCTGACTGGGGAATCAAAACCTCCCATCTTGACTAAAATTTAGTATGTTATCCAGTGCGCTACCTGACAGTCGTGTTAATTTAACCCTATAATAGCTCTATGCCTCTTTTCCCATCCATCACCCTGCTGATATTGTACAGTCAAACTTCCATCAATCAAACTTCAAAGATTTGAATTTTCCATCGGTGTCGAACTTCTGGCAAAGTCTGGAGGTTTTTCCTTAAATGATTTTTCTGCGGTTTCAAATTATAATTAAGGTCTGTTCATTATGAAAACATTTAAAATTCTTATAAACTGAAGTGTACAAAATGACCTGTAGTTAAACACAGGCACAAGCTTCTGAAATTTAATTGATACTCAAAGAAATGTTGAACTTTATAAGATTGCCATGTAAAACTACAGTGTACTTCATAAACATGCTAGTATTATTGCTGTAAATCAATTAAATATAGATTCTAAATAAAATTTACTAGACTGCATTACATATTTTCAGAATCACTTTCGGTCTATGTAATATATTTGCGAGTCGAAGTCCTGATGCTTCAATTTTTTCTCAATGGTCCCACAAAAATCGAAGTTTCAATGTATGTTTGTTTGACTGAAAAGATTGAATGAAGTCTTGTTTAGGGGTCCCTGTCTTACTGCTGGCGCAACACTAGAGAGTTCCACTGTAGTTATTCACACATACAGTAACCTCCCCTTAATTTCATCATGGCTATCACTGTAGGCTGTAGCGTAATTGGGTGAGGGTACTTCCCTTGACAAGATGGCTCAGTTGGTTGAAGTGACAGAAAATTATCTGAGGTCCAGGCATCAAATTGGTCCGGCCTCAGATAATTTTTACATTCAGAACACTATTGTAGGTAACTTTTTGTTTCTTTCATGTTTATTATTTCATTTCATAAAAGTAACCCGAGGAGAGGTTTTCTTTTCAGAAATGATTTATCAAAGGTAAAGACATGTCGGATCAAAGTTTCAGATGCATATTTACAGTTTTTGGCATTGGTACGGGGATCCTTAAATTAAATTAGAGAGAAATAATATGACATCAAAATAATAATTGTACTCACTATCCAAACAGTAAGCCTCCCAGATGGGCTGCGTGATCAAGCCTTCTCCAGCCAAGGATCAGGCCCAATGTGTCCATGCAAAGGATAAACTTGACGCCCTGCCAAGAAAGTATCAAAATGTTTGTGCCTGTGTACATGCAATGTCATACTATGACTGCAAATGGAGTAATGATTTATGTACATAATTTCTATTAATTTGATTCACTCGTATATATGCAAAACTGAATCTTCAAATAACTACTTCACTTATTGATGTTTGACATAAATAAATGTGTTTATCGTCGTTTGTCTTTGAGTTCCATGTACCAAGGGAGATCATTTCGTGTCCAAGATGGCAGTCTGCCAGAATCGTCGATCTTTTCATGAAAAAAACTTGAAATTGCTTATACCTATGTAGTTTGTGCACCCCCCACTTTGGGTATTAAATTTCTGAAAAAAAGTGCACAAATTACATGGGTTTTTACGGTAATCAAAAACTGATTTTCACATAAATGTATTTAATATTCCTCACACAAACAGGAGATATTTGTTACCATTACATTCTGAGTAGCTGTGTGTATGGAATGTTTTCTGTGCTACTATGGTAGTCTTACTGTATCCATGACGATTGCTTTTCTACCATTTATAATAAAATTCTTACCACATTCACAGTGTATGTGTTTTCAGTTTTATTTTGGTATTCTTACTGTAACCACAGTTTAAGTTTTCAGAATTCATACCCTACCAACATCCGCAGAATAGGTTTTCAGTGTTGTTTTGGTACTCTTACCATATCCACGGAACATGTTTTCAGTGTTGGCAATGGAATTCTGACTATATATCTGTCGAGTACATTTTCAGTGTTATTTTGGCATACTTATCGTATCCACAGATCATGTTTTCAACCTTTACAAATAAATTCTTACTTTTTTTTTTACAGACTATGCTTTATTTAGTTTTAGTGTTACTATGTCATTCCTATCGTATCCACAGATCATGTTTTTAACCTTTACAAATAAATTCTTACATTTTCTGTTTTTTTACAGACTATGCTTTAATTAGTTTTAGTGTTACTATGTCATTCCAATCGTATCCACAGATCATGTTTTCAACCTTTACAAATAAATTCTTACTTTTTCTTTTTTACAGACTATGCTTTAATTAGTTTTAAAGTTACTATGTCATTCCTATCGTGTCCACAGAGTATGTTTTCAGTGTATACTAAGGTATTCTTACCGTATCCATGGAGAAGCTGTGTGGCAACACCATGCTAACGAAGGGAACGTGTAGCCTGGCTTCAGGTACCATATGGGCTAACATTCCAAAAATGGCCATTATAGCTCCAGACTAAAACACAAAATAAATGATATTTTTCTGTAGGCTGTTGTAAACAGGATAGATATCACAGCAGTGATGCCTTTCACAAAGCACTGTATATAGTTTGGAGGTGACAAATTCCATCCTTGACAGTGAAACGCTGCCGTCATTAATCCAGAAATGTTTTTTTGCATTATAAAGGGGTTTGGTGATAAGTTGAAGGAAACTTGTAAAGGAACTCTGAAAAAAGGATATAAAAGGATATTTTGTTATGTTGTCAGTAAGCGAGGTGGTAAATAAAAAAAGGGGGTATTATATCAAGACTTTTCAATAGTAACTGTTAAGAATTAAAACTCAGCACATTTACACAATCACATGTTAGTACATCAATATAATTGAGCACCAAGAGAGGGGGATATGTTTATTGACTTACAGCATCAATGGGGGGTGGGGGGTTGTATATATAGTATATACTTATACAGCACCGGGGGTTTAAGGATGATTATGTACTAACAGCACCAATGAGGGGGGGAGAGGTATAGATACTTACAGCACCAAGACTTCCAATAGGGATGACTCTGGCAACTTTGTTTATCTGACTAAAAAGACAGGAAACCACCCCTACAAAAAATATTATTATTATTAAAAACTGTTGTTATTCAGAATGTCACCGTGAAATTTTAGCTCACCCATCATTGAATACCTGTAAGATCATGTGATGACAAAGGGTCTATTGTCAGCCCATCCTGACTCAAAACAAATGACCTTTTCCCCCGTGAAACATGATTTATCTCGCGGAATAAAAACAAATGTGTTTCCGTACAATGGCAATAAATGTATGTAAATGCATCTCTATAATTATATGAACTAAAGTGGAGAGAACTCACCTGCACTAAGGTACACAGCCATAAACTGTTCACGTCCCAGTTTTGAGGCAATGTCCTTGAATGACCAGAACACATACATGTTAATGGAGATATGCACCAAGTGCATATGACTGAAGGAAGACAGGAGCATCGAAATGCGAGGGTTCTCTGTGGAATAAACAAAACAGTCATTTATAAGATTTATACAAAAAGTGGCCCAGAGGACATGTATCGGTCACCTGGATATCTAAACAATCCTGGCCAAAAATGTTCTCGTTAAAAAGCATTATTGAAAACATTTCCCATTTTGGGCTCAATCTCTCAATACCAAGGGGGACAACGCCCTTGAATTTATTACCAGGTTCAAAAAGGGACAACAACATAATTTATTTTTGAAATGATTGTCTTGCAGCAATGATCGATCACACACAAACACTTACAAAAAGAAGTCATTTGGGGGAGTTTGCTGAAGCAGAAGATGATGACGGCCACTGTGCCGTCCTACATGCTATATACCCTAGCCTTTAGTAAGGGTGAGCTCATAAACTAAACCCATAGGCAAGCCATACAAGTTCATCTAAACCAAAACTTTAACTTTTGCCAACACGTCAAAATTTACTTTATTGGCAATGATATCTCATTTCCATAAAAATTTACCTAGTGTATTATTGTTTTCACTAAAGTTTGGTTTGTTTGTGTTTTACGTCCTATTAACAGCTATATATGGTCATTTAAGGATGTGCCAGGTTTTGGTGGTGGAGGAAAGCCGGCGTTCCCGGAGAAAAACCACCGACCTACGGCCAGTACCTGGCATTTTGCTTAAATAAAAACATTATCTGTAGTCATCATGTAATGATTAAGTCCAATATTTATCATTTAACCTATTCACCCCTAAAGTCACATTTGAACCTTACCAACTCAAAGACTAGGCAAGTCCAGTTTAAAAATGTACCTTGCCATTCATTTACTGTGTTTATGGTGCAACCTATTTTGTGTTTCAGAATTACACTTTCGTGGTCAATGTTACTAAAACTAGAACCTTGGCTTTGAGGTAGGAGTATTGGACAAATAAGTAACAAGTCCTTATTTGGCAATGAAAAAGGGCCATAACTCTGCCGAAAAGCAAAACTTACGATTTAGTAACAAAAAATATCTTTCCATAGTTGATGCGAAACTCGGTACCTTCCACAACATAAATACGGCAATGTTAGCAGCAATGATTCCAGCGACCAACTTGTGGCCTGGTGGTATTTGGCTCCATATATGATCCATCTTTATGAACAAACAAAAATGTACATGGACTTATCATGATCAGAATGGTTAAATTATGACATCACATAAACAACTCTACACAATTTTTGATATGAAGCATTATAGTTACCAATATAATACAAGACCAGCAGAAAATTATATATAAAATTATCTCAGTTTCTGTCGAGTGACCTACAATATTTGCCATAATAAGCACCCAGGGCATTTACAAATAAGCTTAAATGGGAGCACTTATTAAGATAACAAGCCATTCGGATTGATAAGTCTTGTCTGTACCCACTTTGACCATCAATGCACATATCAGTGAAATAAATTCAATGTAGACGACATTTGAAATGACATGTCTGGTGACTGATTGGTCCAAGTTTGGTTGGTCTAGCGCTTATAGTTTCAGAGAAACTAACTTTAACACAACAAGAGGCCCATGGGCCTTAATTTTTATATATATATATATATAACGGTCACCTGAGTTCTGATATATTTATACAGAGAGTTGATTTTTGTTTTAAAAACATGAACAGAAATATTATTCAAAGTGACAAAAAACAATAAAACCACCTTATTCAATATCTAGCATACAGATTTAAGACTGAAAAGTATTTGAATCTAGTACCTCTGATTCTAAACAAAGAAAATGAAGAAATTTTAGCACACTGACTCCTTTGGGCCCCACCCTATAGCCCTTGGGTGTAGGGCTGGCTCAAAATTTTCAAAGTATCAAACTGTCAACTCAGGGTTATAATTCCAATCAAGTTATCAACATGTAATATTCCAAGTATCATTTGTCATTATAAACCATAATAAATATTGCCTACCCCCCTCCCCAGGGTGAAACGTGAGACCCCAGGGTCAAGAAATTCACAATTTTGGTAAAGCACATTAAGACCCTTCAATCTATGAAGAGTATTTGATTCTACCATACCTGGATCTTGAGAAGAAGATTTTTGAAATTTTAGTCAATTCAACCCTTAGGCACCTGGGGGCATGGGGACCATATTATTCACAATTATGGTTGACCTTTGGCCATGGAAGGTTTTCTGCAAAATTTCATTGAAATTGGTTCAGGGGTTTCGGAGAAGAAGTCGAAAATGTTAATTGTTTACAGACGGACGATGACGGACAAAAGGCGATCGCAATAGGTCATTTGAGACTTTGTCTCAAGTGAACTAATAACTTAATGTTGATGGAGATGCTGACAAAGTCAAAGGACCATGAAAGGTAGGCCACATCCAGCATTTGATGCTTGGGTTGAGATGTACTACCTAAGATGCATCTATGGTCCAAGTTTGGTTGGTCTAGCACTTATACTTTCAGTGAAACTAACTTAAACGCAACAAGCAAATTTGTGGAATTTATATCCCCCGCTTGCAGGACATCTTGTAGGTTAACATTATTGAGGTTAGGTTTAAACATGTGAGCATCGTGCTGTTGAGACATAATGTATAGCTTGAAAATTGAAGAGAAAAAAAAAGCCCTATACCTCATTGATTATCCGTATATATGCACAAATCACATCGGTTGGCAAACCTAGCATGAGTCGGATGGGAATTTGGTTGAAACATCTGACCAATATCAACAGCAATTATCACACGAAACCAAAGACTGGGCCATATCTCTGCCAAATGGAGTCTGACTGCTTGGCAAACTTGGCCGAGCCCTTAATGCATTGAACCCTGTACATGTTACTAAGTTTGAAGAAAATCGGATTATATTTGCGAGAGTAAATGAACAGAAACGGTAGATAATGACGTTTTTCGTTCTTCAAGGGGCCATAACTCCGCCAAATAAAGTCCGCTGAGAGTGGTCATCAAACTTGGCCGGGGGATAAAAACTTAATGTTGATGCCGCCATTGTCAGAAAACCAACACCTTAGTCTCGCTTCAGCTACTTAGTGGCGACGAGACAATAAAATGTGAGTTATAATAGAATAAGTTGTACAATTTCAAACATTGTTACAGTATAACAGGACATTCAAGCGTGGCTGGAGGTTTGGATATCAAATGTTTCATCAGCTTCAGGGGAAGTCCAGCCATGTAAGTGTAAACTTGTACAGTACTGTAAATCAGTGACTGAGCCTGATCAGGGCCCATCTTCATGAAACAGTTCTCATGATCAAGCATGGATTCTGTTCACGAGACCTAATTAATAATTATCATTAATCAAATAACTATAAATAAACTATACATTAGAAAACTAAATTTATCGTTATGGATGAAGAAATAATCAAACTCTCCATAACATGTCTTTAGCACTTTCATCTCTTCAAGGAGATGTTTCAGATTGTTTATTGAAAGGAAATATTATTAAATTCTTGACAATATGTCTTAAACAGTTTCATCTTTATCCCCATTGCAAAAAAAAGTGCTGAAGACATATTGTTCAGAAAATATATCATACACTCCAATTAGTCAACACCAAACTTGGGATTACCTGCGATGCCTCAAAAGGAACAGGGGGATTAGCCATCTCTAAACATAGATATATATGTATCCTTACTCTACAATGTAGCGTCCAGTACTGTGATGTTATTGTATCTGGCACTAATACCTACTGCTACTGCTAAACTCTTCAACCAAATTATGATTGCTTCCTGCTATCTGTTTCCCTGCTCGACCGAATCGATTCAGATTAATTTCCTCCCCTTGTCCGACTCATCCGTCCCCCTTGGCAACCCTATAGCTATTTTTTTATTTCTTCCTCCTGTTTAGGTTGTGTTGGAAATGGAAACAAATCCCTACAGAGAATTTTCCTAAATTTCTGCGGAAAAATTTGTATCTATGTGGATAAGTGTTACTGAAACTTTTCATTGTCAACTGAATTGTGATAGTGTTTCATCGATTTTTGCTATACCAATAGCTCAGCCAGGCCCATATCCATTATCAGCATTCTCCACTTTGCTGTTCAAACGGTTTACTTTTCTTGATTGCATTATCAGTGATTTTTGTGAGAGTTTAACTTTTCTCCAGGCGATTCCTGAATATAAATTTATTTTCCAAATGTTGATGAGTCCCATTTCTATGGGCGATATATATGTAGTGGGTTCTAAATATGCATGCATTTCCCTCAGGAAAAGCAGGAATCAAGGGTTCAAATAGGTGTACATTTGTAACCATTGTTATTTGCCTATTTACATTGTTTTAGCAACTTGTTGGTTGTGGAACACCTCCCTCTTATACTGCTTCCCCCCCACATTTTTAATTTCATTTTTTTTTCATACCATTGCAGAATGCAACACACTGCCAAAATTAAAGTGACAACATTTCAAATCCCCTAAAATCTTCGTCTGTATAACATCCAAGTAACGGTTCTGTGATACAAATAATGTTTGGCTCAAAGCCGTACGAAAGATTATGATTTAACACTAAGTAAGGAAAATAAATAATGCTACTGTATTCAACATAATTAGCACTCCTCCCCCTTGTTCAGGAGGAAATGATCACAGCTTGACTTCCTTTGAACCCTAAAGTTGATGAACAACTTTATTTGCAAAGCTTCAGCCACACTTGAATGTTTATAATGTCCTTTGGTGATAACAACTTTTTCAATCTTAAGTCACATTTTATTACCCTATTAAGTACACACACACACACCCAAGTCATTTTTAAGCACCCAGGGTGCTAATTACTGTGTTTACAGTATGTGATGGCCTCAAATACTTTGCAAATTATATTGTCCCCAGGCCTCACTTTCACCGTTAAATGTCTTAGCTTACATAATTAATAAAGTTCCCCAATGTTGCTGATAGAGGGCTTATCAGGAGCCATACTTAATTCAGTGTATTCTTTCATCCTTAATTTTGTCAGACAGTGATGCAGAAATGCAGCATTATAAACACTCTAATAACTGGCATACTTGTGTAACAGACTATCCCCTGTCCCTCCTTCACTGAAAGAAACCAGCTATAATTACAATAAGTTTATATAATAATCCTAATTATTTTGTAAATGACCCTAGCGACTAAACAACAACTGTTCTGAGTACATCTTGACTAAATTAGATGAACAGACCACATGGGCTTTGTGAACAATGCTTACTTGCCGAAATAAACGCAATTTAAA